TGGGGAGGTCTCCGGCATGGAGACCTTGGGGTGAAGGTTGATCTGATGCGCCGCGTACCGAACCGCAAACGGCCACAGAAAATGGGGGGCAGCCGCATGCATCATGGACGTACGGGCGACGTCCATGACCATGCTAATGCGGCGCTCAGCAATCCCATTTTGCTGTGGAGGGTCCGGAAGCGTAAAGGTCTGGCGGATGCCTCGCGCACGACAGTAGGCTCGCAGAAGGCCAGAGGAGAACTCTCCGCCTCGGTCAGAGTGCAGACGCAGAACAGGAAAGTCCGAGCCGAAGCTCCTCCTGAGCTGGAGACGAGCTGCGCGGATCCAGTCGATCAACACCTCAGTGACATCACCCTTGCTGCGCAAGGGGAAGACTGTGGTGTAACACGAGTAGTCGTCAACCACCAGCAGGAAGTAGCGCTCGTGACCCTGTCCACGGACGCGGGCCGGGCCCCACACGTCCATGTGAAGCGTCTGCAGCGGGGCCTCTGTCAGGGGAAACAGAGAGGAGTGAGGGGCAGCCCGCAGCCGCCCCTCGACACAGGGGACGCAGGTGGGGCCAGGCCCCGGAGGAAGGGGAGGGAGGGACCGGGGAAGACCAGAGACAAGGACACGGGAGGCCATGCCTCGGAGACGAGGCAGGGAGGGGTGACCAAGGCGGTGGTGCCAGAGGAGAGTCTCGTGAGACAGGAGGCGACACGAGCAGGGGGCAGACTCAGGACCAGACCTGGACGCTGCAGCAAACACCTGACCCGACGCAGCTACCTGACCAGACGCAGGGACAGGAGGAGACTCAGTGGCCAGGGTGTACAGGCTCGCCCCCGGCCGTCGCGTAAACGTGGCCAGGTGCCGGCCTGTGCGAGCGTCCGAGCAGTGAGTCACCCGCTGACTCGCAGGAGTAAACTGGTGAACCCCCGCATCCTGTAGGTCAGCACCACTCACCAAGTTCGTAGAGAATGAGGGAAGGTAAAGACCAGACAAGGTGCCAGAGGGGGCCGCCGGACACAGGAGGACAGTGGAGAAGTGAGAAAGGACAGGACCCCCAGAGGGGTCTTCCAGGGAGACTGCAACCGGCCGACCAAGCGGCGTGAGTGTGGTGCGGTCTCGAAAGAAGGAGCGTGAAGCCCCTGAGTCAAATGTGAAGGTGAGGGAGGCCGAAGCCGACGCGGTACCTGCGAGCGCAGACTCACCAGCACCTGAGGACGCAGACGCACTAGCACCTAGAGCAGCAGCCTCACTGGCACCTAGAGCAGCAGCCTCACCAGTATCTAGAGCAGCAATCTCAATGCCCGGGTCGGGCGGGAAACACCGGTAACAGTCACCCTCATCACTAATAGACACAGCATACATGGCAGAAAGGATAGCATCAAAATCAAGATCATAGATGGCAACTCCCGCCCTAGACAGCCCGCCCCAGCGAGGGATCTCTGTGGCCTCCGGGAACCGGTGACGCCACGCGTCCGTCAGGCGGCCAAAGCAGCGCTGGGTGGGGTGCGCACCCCCACACTGCTCACCCGCACGGTCGCCGGTGCGCAGGACGTAGGTGCACGGACCAAAGCCCCCACCCCGCTGGCGTGCAGTGTACCACTCAAGGAGCTGCTGAGGGTTCAAGGTCTCACGACCGTGCTGCTGCTGCTGGCGCGGACCACCACCAGAGCCACTCCTCTGCGTAGACCCGCGACCAGCTCCACCGCCACCCCCGCCGCCTCCGCCGCCTCCGCCGCCTCCGCTACTACCGCCGCCTCCGCCGCCTCCTCCACCGCCACCACCTCCGCCACCTCCGCTCCCACCGCCACCGCCGCCGCCTCCTCCCGCTAGGGGCAGACGCCGCACCGACCGACTCAAGACCAAGTAGGTCGGCCGCAGCAGCAGAGGCAACAGAGGGCAAAAGGGGGGAGGGGGAACACCCCTCAAAGATGGGGGTGCGCGGGTCACCACGAGAGGCCCCTTCAGCGACTATGCTCTTCTCGGCCGTTGGGGAGGACTTCTTGAGGAGGTCAATAGTGAGAGTGGTGGGATAGACTGAGAGGAAGTGGTCCCTGACTACGCGAAGGGAGTCAGGGAGGCGAGTGACTATGTAGTAGAGAGTGATGTACATGGGGGGGGGGTTCTTGGCGCAGAAGTCAGCGGGAAGCGCAGCGCGGTAGCGAGTGTCACTAATGCGGAGGTGCGTAATGAGGTCAGCGACTGTGGGAAAGGCAGCAAGGTCAAAGAAGAGGTACGGTAGCATGAGACGGCTCAGTGCAGCAGTGGCAGGGGAGGAGTAGCGTGCAACTACAGCGTCGTACAAGGTCTGAGCACTCTTGTACTGACTAAAGTGCGCACGCTCAGAGGTAGGGAGGTGGCGACGCACAGCAAGACGTGCAGCAGCATCGCGCGTGGCCCACTGTGAGCGAACAGTGGCGTGAGCATCAGCAGTAGGGGCAGGAGAGGCACCAGAGGTGAGGTCAAAGAGGGAGAGACCGTCTGCCCTATCGCACTGTAAGAACAGCTGCAGGTCATCTACCCAGACGTCAAAGTCAATGGCTCGACCCTCGGCGTCAAAAGCAAGGACACTAGGGGTAGCCATGAGAACAGTAGACTAGCAGCGCTAACTGTAGAGCAGGGGCAGTGCAGTGACAGAGGCGCTGCGCTCACCCGACAGGGCGGTTCGGGTAGCTCGGGCGGCTCGGCAGCAACTGCGGCTCGGCGGCACCCGCGGCTCGGCTCCTCAACTGCTCAGGCGGCTCGGGCGGCTCGGGCGGCTCGGGCGGCTCGGGTGGCTGAGCGGCGCGGGCGGCTCGGCTGCGTAGGCGGTTCAGGCGGGGCCGTAGGTAGGGCGACGGGGCCGGGTCGAAGGTAGGGCGACGGGGCCGGGGCCGGGCCGTAGGTAGGGTGACGGGGCCGGGGCCGGGCCGTAGGTAGGGCGACGGGGCCGGGTCGAAGGAAGGGCGACGGGGCCGGGCCGTAGGCGGGGCGACGGGGCCGGGGCCGGGCCGTAGGTAGGGCGACGGGGCCGGGTCGACGGTAGGGCGACGGGGCCGGGGCGCAGGTAGGGCGACGGGGCTAGGGCCGGGGCCGCAGGTATGGCGACGGGGCCAGGTTCGCAAGGGGGGGGGGGGGGCGACGGGGCCGGGGTCGCAGGTAGGGCGACGGGGCCGGGGCGCAGGTAGGGCGACGGGGCCGGGGCGCAGGAAGGGCGATGGGGCCGAGGCGCAGGTAGGGCGACGAGGCCGGGGTCGTAGGTAGGGCGACGAGGTCGCTAGGGCGACGAATCAGGGGCCGGGGTCGTAGGTAGGGCGACGGGGCCGGGGTCGTAGGTAGGGCGACTCGGGCAGAGCGCGCTCCGGGCAGGAAAAAAAACTTTCGACTTGGTGGGCCCTAGGCACAGTTCCCACGAGGGAACCTGCTCGATACCATGAGAGAATTGAAACGAGAATGATGTGAACTAAGGAATGGAATGTGGTACAAAATGTGCAACCCTAGAAATGTGTACCCCATATAGGCTACCCCACTACAGCCTACAGAACATTATGATTTGACAATTGCTTCATCGCTGGGACAGGAAGTCTTGGGGGTTGAGCCGTTCGTATCGAGAGAGAAGCCTTGCGGGGTGGAGTTTTGGTCGTTTGAGGCCGGTTGAGTGGGTTGGGAAGAGGTTCCCGCATCGCCATTCCGCAATGTCTGGAGCCCTTGCTCCAGGCTCGTGAGTCGCTGAAGTAGTTGTGCGAGGACGGCGGAAGGAATCGTCGTCGTTTCCTCGTTTGTTGCAGCCGGGTTGGGCTGCGCTTCAGCCGTCAGATTCGTCTGACCTCCAGATCCTCCGGCCATTCTTACACGTGATCGTGTGCCGGACGCCACTTTCCGAATGTCGCAGATTTCGGAGATGGCGGTGCGAAGGATTTCTGAGTCGCTCTCATACCATGTTACGATCAAAAGTTTATCGTGGCCTAGGATCTACTCAGGAAAGTTCGCACAATTCTAGTCTAGTGGTGGTGGGCCCTTAACCTCAATAGCAGAGTGAATGTAAATGCTTGAGATAATAAACACGTGCAGTACAAGGAATATAAATATGAGTACAGGGGAATTCGAAACGACCTAACTAGCCATGTACTCTAAGGGGTACATTCCCTTATTGCAGCGAAATCCAACCGTGCGACTCCGAGTAGTTACGTAACTGTTCGGGCAGAATCCTCGCCACTGCTGCTGCCTGATGCTGTCTGCCTGACGGTCCAGATGCTCCTCGTAACCGTCTGTCCCTTCGCCTTTCTTCTGGCTTTTCGTCTTCACTCTCGATAGTGCGTGCTTCGGCCTTACTACGGTGAGGAGTGCGCAACAGTGTTTTTCATTAACTACTATTCGTAACGCTTAAATCCAAAAATTAGCCCTGGGTGCGATGTGCGAAGGTGGCGGGCGGATTGTCGATGCGAGGGTTGCGAGTGGTAACGGTGCTGACTGTGGTGCTACCGTGATGTACGCGTTGAGCAGGTATGCGAAGTAAGGAAAAGGAATTTTCCTTACACTATGTAAGCGGCAAACCAAGTTTGACTACAAAAGAAAGCTTATGAAGGAGCTTATGTCTACCACAAACAAGGTTGTGCTTCTGCTCTTCATTACTATCACAGGTACAGGACACAGTGGTACAGCATAAGGGGTAGGTTGTGATATAAGCGCATAGAGTACAGGTACTAGTGATTCCTTCATAACATATCGATTAGAATTTGAGGGGGATCGGAGCACGAAACGAAATGCCTATATTGTTTCCAGCCACCCACTGCTCTTTGCTCAGCGTTACTGTATCTCATGAGCAACAGTAATTGAAAGTTTAATCATCCTGCGCATCATCATCTTCACTGTCATCGCTGCCATCGCTGCATGTAAAACACCGAAGCAGCATATAGATCATGAGCGGCCAAGTTAAGCCTGAATACCCAGGAAAACATAATAACGAAAAGACGCCCTACCTGGAGATACAATCAAGCCTCAGTTGACAGGAAAGGAATAGAAGGAAAAATAGTTACCTGACAACGGGCATCTTTGCAATGCGGCGGGACTCGAGCCCTGTGAGATACTTCTGCGCTGCTGTCACCTGGTCAGGACCTGGTCAGTCAGAGAATTCAGACAGCGGCAGGAAAAAAAATGATGTTTCAGTTGCAACGTGGGAGAATGAACTATCAACTTGTTCGCGCTGCACAGGTTGAGAACTCGTGAAGGTTCAGGTGTGCTTGTCCCCAGTGGGAAACATGGCAGGCTCATTCATGCCTCAGCCCTTTTGTGCTGAGCCAAGATGATGATTACTCTAACCTTGCTGGTTCGTAGGGCAAGGCTCTTGCTGAGCTGGACATTACCCGGGCTGAGCTGGAACTCACCCTTGCTGAGCTGGAAGGCGTGCAGGATGGTTCGCTCTGCAGCCATCCTCACAGGCTGACTCGTGTCCTTGAGGCACTCTGACAGGGGCGGGCCCAGCGCCGCCATGAGCTTTGCTGGGATGGGTTCCTGTAGTTATAACGCAGTGTGAAGGAGGGGGGGGGGCGGGAAGGTGGTGAAGGAGGGGATAGAGGGGTGAGGAAGGCACCATCTGACTTGTGTGTCCTTGAGGCACTCTGACAGCGGCGGGCCCAGCGCTGCCACGAGCTTCGCTGGATGGGCTCCTGTAGTTATGATGCACTGTCAAGAGGGGCAAGGGTAGAGGGGGGTGAAGGAGGGGATAGAGGGGTGAGGAGGGCACAGAGGCTGACTCGTGTGACCTTGAGGCACTCGGACAGGGGCGGGCCTAGTACTGCCATAATCTTAGCTGGTATGGGGTCCTGCGAGCATGGCATGGAGCAGTATTTTGTTGGGGAGGAGGGGAGGTGGGGTGGGGGATAGTGGAATGAGGGAGGTACACAGGCTGACTCGTGTGACCTTGAGGCACTCTGACAGGGGCGGGCCCAGCGCTGCCAGGGGCTTTGCTGGATGGGCTCGTGTGGTTAGAGAGCAGAGATGGGTGGGGAATGTGTGGGGAGAGCGGGATGAGCCAGGTTCGGGCCCCTTGTGAGCAGAGATGGGTGGGGGATAGAGGGCTGGGGAAGCCACTCGTTGACCACGTCAATGTTGTTGACTGCATTGACTGCATTGACCGAGTTGACCCACCTTCTTGGTAACCATCTTGACAGCAGAGAGTGCCTTCCTCCGCACGTCACTAGCAGCAAGAAAGAGAGGATGAAATAAGCAAGTGGACCAACCACCTTGACCCTGTTGATCCCGTTCCATGCACTGACTCACCTTCTTGGCAACCATCTTCACAGCAGACAGCGCCCTCCTCCGCACATCACTAGCCGCATCCCCAAGCAGCGAAGCCAGCACCGACACCACACCCGCCGCACTCCCCCCGCCCATCCCAAACAGCACCAGCCACCTCCCCGCCGACTTAGCCGCGGTCTCCCTCACCGGCACCTTATCATCCCCTGCATGTGCTCTTATAGCCGTGGCTGACTTTTCGGCAACGGCCGAGAGCTGGGATGCTGGCAGGGGCGCGGGGCGGGAGGCGGTGTGGCGGAGGAGGGAGGAGAGGGCGAGGGCGGCTGCGAGGCGGTGCGACCAGGGCCGGGAGGAGGGGAGGGGGGCGGCGAGGGCGGCAAGGAGAGAGAGGTAGTCTGGTTCAGCTAGGTACTGTTGGGGGTGTGGGGGAGGGGGAAATAGGGAAAAAGTGGGAGTATGGAAATTGATAGAGAGAGAGAGGAGGGGCCAGTTTTCTGCATGGAGCCTCATCACAAGTGCTCTGGAGGAGCCTGGGCTTCCAGCCCGATGGCAGTAGCTGGGAGCTTGAGGGCGGGAGGTGGTGTGGCGGAGGAAGGAGGAGAGGGCGAGGGGGGCTGCAAGGCGGTGCGACCAGGGCCGGGAGGAGGGGAGGGGGGCGGCAAGGAGGAGAGGTAGTCTGGCTCCGATAGGTACTGCTGGGGTGGGCAGGGTAGGGGTTAAAAGTGGGGGGGAGAGGCAGAGAGGAAAGGGGTCAGTTATCTGTATGGAACCTCATCGCAAGTGCTCAATGGTAGTAGGTGGCAGGCTGAGTCCAGAGCCGTGTGGCGGAGGAAGGAGGAGAGGGCGAGGGCGGCAGCGAGGCGGTGCGACCAGGGGCGGGAGGAGGGGAGGGGGGCGGCGAGGGCGGAGAGGAGGGCGAGGTAGTCTGGCTCCGATAGGTACTGCTGGTGGGGTTGGAGGGGGGAAGGGGGGAAACGGGGAAGCATTGGGAGCATGGGAAACGAGAGACAGAGACGAAAGGGGTGTATTTTCTGTATGGAACCTCATCACAGGTGCTCTCTGGGTGCATGTGCCTCCAATAGTAGTAGGAGGGAGGTTGAGGGGCGGGAGGTGGTGTGGCGGAGGAGGGAGGAGTCGGCAAGCACAGCTGCAAGGCGGTGCGACCAGGGCCGGGAGGAGGAGGGGGGGACGGCGAGGGTGGCGAGGAGAGTGAGGTAATCCGGCTCCGACAGGTACTGTTGGGGGTTGGGGGAATGGGGTGGGAGGGAGGGGGGAGGAGAGATTTTTTGACACGTCTCAGGGGCGGTGCTGTGAGCCACGCTTTGTGTCCAGAGAGGCCCACACATGCACACTCTCTCACCTGTGCAGTACCACCAAGAGCTCTAGCAGCGACAGAGCGAACAACAGAGTCGTCATCGCTGTCAGAGGCGAACAGCACCACCTGCAGCGACGAGGAGAGGCACTCCAGAGATGCGGGCGAGGCCGCCTTGCCTCCGTACCACCCTCATCCCTGCACCTTCCACATTCTGACGCCTCGAATACCATCCCAGCACCCCCTCTCTCCTCTGCCATGATCTTGGCATGCCTGTGCGCCACAGTGCTGCCTCTCTCTCACCTGCGCAGTGCCGCCCAGGGCTCTAGCAGCGACAGAGCGAACAACTGAGTCGTCATCGCTGTCAGAGGCGAACAGCACCGCCTGCAGCGATGAGGAGAGGCGGGAGAAGCTGCCTTGCCTCCGTGCCATTCGCACCCCTGCCACTCTCTCTCTCTCTCTCTCTTACCTGCGCAGTGCCCCCCAGGGCTCTAGCAGCAACGGAGCGAACAACAGAGTCGTCATCGCTGTCAGAGGCGAACAGCACCGCCTGGAGAGACGAGGAGAGGCGCTCCAAAGATGCCGGAGAGGCTGCCTTGCCTCCGTGCCTCACCACTCCGCGGATGGCCATCAGCATCGACTCCTTCACCGCACCGTCCGCAGTCTGTGAGGGGAAGAGGGGAGGGGGGGCGGAAGGAGGCACAATACGCACGACAGGGATCACTCAGCCTTGCCTCCGTGCCTCACCACTCCCCGGATTGCCATCAGCATCGACTCCTTCACTGCACCGTCCGCAGTCTGTAAAAGGGGAAGAGGGAAGTGTGGAAGTGAGGTCGGTCGGGAGGGATGCCAGTAAGGTGCTGATGTGGACAGAACAGAACGCTGGACAGAATGCTGACGTTGCGCAGAGTACTGATGTGGAAGAGTGCTGACCTGGAGGCAACACTGACCTGGATGGAGTTAAGGAGGTCGGAAATGAGAGCATCCACTCGCGGGTTGAGCGCTGTCAGCCGCCCCAACGCCTTGGCTGCCCGCGAGCGCACCGTGCTGGGGAGATGAGTGGGGGGATGGGGGGTAAGTATAGACGAGCTTTAGGAAACAAGGGAGATTCATAATGGTTAGTAGGAGTGTTCCTGGCAGCAGATGAAAGCAGTGCGCAGCTGCAGCAGGAAAAAGGGCTTGACGTGGTGCTCGAGGCACCCCTGCTCCCACCTTTGCCTGCCTGCCCCCATACAGACTAGACTCAAATGGTACTTGGCATGCGGGGAGAGAACAGGGGGAGAGCAGCAGGCACTCACCGGTTGGAGTCTTGCAGGCAGCGGATGAAGGTGGTCTGCAGCTGCGGCAGGAAGGGCTTGAGGGCGATGCCGCCCTTGGAGATGAGAATGGCGAGGGTGGAGAGAATAGCTGCCTTGACCTGCCAGGGGAAGCGATCCCCCACTATGCGGATGAGGGGACTGGGAAAGGGGGGCCAGAGGGAGAACGGGAGAGGGAGCGGGGGAGGGAAACGGAGAAGGAGAGGGGATGAGGGGGGATGGAAGGGGATGAGAGGGGATGTGCATGCAAGAGCTGTTACTCAATCTGATTTTTTTTTTAAAGAATTCTAAAAGAAAACATTTACTGGTCTACTCTCACCCAGTAAAGGGCCACACAGCTGCCTCACCCGCACGTCTATCACCCACACCCATCCACAACCATCCAAACCCATCCACACCCATCCACAACCATCCAAACCCATCCACACCCATCCACAACCATCCAAACCCATCCACACCCATCCACACCCATCCAAACCCATCCATACCCATCCACACCCATCCACACCCATCCACACCCATCTACACCCATCCACACCAATTGTGGTACCCAACTACTACGCTCACCCAGTGATGGGCACCACAAACGGCCGCAGCGCCGCCTCACTGGCCACGTCGATGAGCTCCGCCAGCCCGTCCGCTGCTGCTTCTCGCATCTCCGCTGACCCCAACATGAGCGCCTGGAAGGGCAAGTGGGAGGGGGAGGGGGAGGGGGGAGGGGGAGGGGGAGGGGGAGGGGGAGGGGGAGGGCATGAGACAAGCAGTCACGTGCGTTTGCTGCTGTACCTGTGGCATCTCTGGGGTGGGAACGATTTGAGGCATCTCTACATAACTGGAGCCTGGTGGCACGTCAAGTACATCTGAAGCAGGTATATCTAAACCCCACAACAAGACAGGCTGAGATGCTCACCTGCAAGTATATCTGGAGCACTGGCTGCAAGCCCTTGGGCAGGCAGAAACCAGCAACGAGCATGGGAAGGCCCTGTGGGGTGATGGGTGCGTAAGGAGGGAGAGAGCACCAAGCGGATGGAGTCAATATTGAAAAAGATAGATAAAAAAGAAAAGAAAAGGAACAAGCATGGTAACACAATGAAACGAGAGAAAGAGACCCGGAGACCTTACGTATGCAAGAGTGGCAAGGCAACCCACCTTCCTCTTCCTCCTCTCCCTGTCCCTGGCAGTGGCAACAGCATCTCGAACCACTTTGAGGTGCACTGGCAGCGACTCCTTGGGAATGGTGCTCGTGACGCTGCCCAGCGCCTCCCATGCCACCTGCGAGAGGGGATGATTGGGTTGGAAGGGGGAAGAATGGCAGCATAGCATGACATGCACTATTGCACCATGGCATCAGTTGCACTCATCACCAAATCATACATACCTTCACGCAGGCCTCATCGGGGTCGGCCAGCATGACGATGAGAATGGTCATCAGCGATGGCAGCTCCTGCTTCCCCTCCCTATATACACACACCACATCCCATCACAGCACGCATGCACTACAGTGAAAGCACCATGCCCTCACATCGTATATCATACCTTCACACAGGCCTCATCGGGGTCTGCAGGCATGACGATGAGAATGGTCATCAGCGACGGCAGCTCCTCCTCCTCCGCCCATCCCACACATGCACTCCTTACAGCAATACATGCATATATAGTCAGTGCTCCTCGCACTGCATCTTACCTTCACACAAGTTTTGAGTCGACTCAAAACTCTACAGCAACACACACATACATAGTCAGTGCTCCTCGCACCGCAGGTACCTTCACACAGGCCTCATCGGGGTCTGCCAGCATGACGATCAGGATGGTCATCAGCGATGCACAACAGCAACACACGTGCACACACCCCATCTCATCCCATGTCACATCATACCTTCACACAGGCCTCATCGGGGTTTGCCAGCATGACAATGAGAATGGTCATCAGCGACAGAAGCTCCTCCTCCAGATCCACACGCGCACTACTTACAGAAACACATGCACCCATCATGTCTTACCTTCACACAGGTCTCATCAGGGTCTGCGAGCATGACGATCAGGATGGTCATCAGCGACGGCAACTCCTCCTCCAGATCCACACGCGTGATCTTGCAGAACGTTCCGAGAAGCTTCGCTGCCCCACGCCTCATGACCGCCTGGAAAGGATAGGGGGAGAAGAGGACAGGAGATGAGAAGAGAAGGGAGGACAAGGTGAGGAGAAGAGGGGAAGGGAAAGGAGAGACGACCAGAGAAGAGAGGCGAGATAGGAGCACAAGAGAGTGTGTGGGTGAGCTCACCTATAAGAAATTGCAGCTGTGTTTTGAGTTGATTCAAAACAAGAGAGCGTGTGGGTGAGCTCATTAAAAAAAAATTGCAGCCCCTCCGCACCCGCCCCGTCTCCCTCCCCACTCACCCCCATCCCGACCTCTACCACCCGCCCTTACCTCTTCCCAGAACGTACTGAGTTATCAGAGAGAGCGTGCGTGAGCTCGCCAATAAGAGAGTCCAGCCCCTCCTCGTCCACCCCCTTCACCACCGCCTCTGCTGATGCCACCGCCATGGAACGTAGGGGGGACTGTGGGGAAGAAGAGTAGTGGCATGGGAGGGACGAAGGGAAAAGGGGAACAAACGGAGGCGGCGGGAAATGGTGTGCGTGAGCTCGCCAATAAGAGGGTTCAGCCCCTCGTTTTCCACTCCCTTCACCACCGCCTCTGCTGATGCCACCACCATAGAGCGCAGGGGGGACTGTAGGGAGAGTTGATGGGCAAGGGGAGAGAGAGTGTGGAAGCAGGTTGGGGGAAGAAGGTTCTGGAAGAAGAGGTGCCAGAGAGAGTTTTCGAGAATGTCCTACATGGAACCACTGCAAAAACACTTAAAATCGTCAACAGATCATGGGACTGCCACCACAGCAGCATACCCCGCTAGCCTTGCTCACTTCCCTCTAGCCCCTCTAACCCGCTCACCTCCTCCATCTGCCCCATCTCGTTGAGCAGTGGAGGCAGCACGGTTGCCAGATGCACACACATGCCTGCCAATGCACACACATGCCCGCCAATGCACACACATGCCCGCCAATGCACACACATGCCCGCCAATGCACACACATTTCTTCACATTCCCACACATGAACACTCGCACACACTCGCACTCACCTCCTCCATCTGCCCCATCTCATTGAGCAGCGGCGGCAGCACCGTGGCCAGATGCACACACATGCCCGCCCCTGCCACCTCTGCCAGCGCCCCCAGCGCATGTGCCTTGAACTCCCTGTGTGGGCGAGATCCGGGGTGGGTAAAGGGGAGAAAGTAAACCCAAACATTGAGTCCGCCAATTAGACCTACTGGTAAATTGGACACAAAAAGGAGCAAGTGGAAGGGCAGTGTACGTACGTGAGAGGCGGTTTGACGAGCTTGGGTAGGATGTGAGGCAGTACGACAGTGGTGCGCACACTGCAGAGCATTGGGGGGGAGGACGAGGAGGTGGAGAAGGGGGATGAGGTAGAGGGGAGAAACGGAATGACTTTGAGGCGTCTCAGAAAGTTTGACGAGCTTGGGCAGGATGTGAGGCAGTACTCCGGTGGTGCGCGCACTGCAACACAAGGGGGAGATGGGGAGAGGGGTGAAAGGCAGAGGGGGAGAAATGGATTGAGACTTAAGGTGAAAGATTTTCAGGCTGCAATCTGTTGCTATTGAATCTGGAATACAGCGCAACCCACCTGAGTATCCACCTGAACCCATCCGACCTGAGAATCACCATTCCACCTGAAAATTGACCTGAACCCATCCCACTTGAAAATTCACCTGAACCCATCCCACCTGAGGATCTGTTTGAGCCCATCGAGCGCCGTGGCAGACGTGTGGGGATCCTCCAGAGAGTGCAGCAGCGCTGGCACGATCTCATCGATTGCTTGCATTCCCGCACTCTGCGCAGGCAGGGGAAGCAAACGCAAGGAGAGAAGAGCAGCAGATTAGCGTCGCACTTCTGCGATACGAGTTCACTTAGACAGTAGCATACGGTATGCCCACAAGAGAAGGGACTGTCCTGAGAGGCACCCACCTTGTAGAGCGTGCTGAAGGTCTGTGCTGCTGCCTCCCTTTGGGGCGCTTAAAAAATCGTTCCTATACGCGCAAGTCCTATGCACATGAGAGAACGAATTTCCATGTGAGTGAGGCACCCACCTTGTAGAGCGTGCTGAAGGCCTGTGCTGCTGCCTCCCGCACTTCAGCATCCCTGCTCAGCACGAGAGGCAGGGAGGAACGAACGAACAGAGGAGCAGGATGAGCATGAGGAGCAGAGAGAGCATGATGGGCAGGGGTAGCAGGGGGAGCAAAAGGAGCAGGAGGAGGGAAACAGGAGGTGTGACAGACAGAGTCGCCGCATATTACAGAAGCGTGTCTGATACTCACCCATCGCAGAGCGCAGAGCGGATGGTGCCGATAAGGGCGTCCAGGTGGGATGTGAGGTGAGGTTCTGCGGCCTAGAACGCACAATCTATTGCAAAGGCACAGCGCTTCACTGGTTGGTTGGACTCACTCATCGCAGAGCGCAGTGCGGATGGTTCCGATAAGGTCGTCCAGATGGGACGTGAGGTTCTGCCGGCCTGCAGCATTCATCACCTCGCCCAGCCCGCAGCACACACCCTGCAGACATATAAGTAGACAGCAAGAAAGGGCATATATGATCACACAATCCCATATCACACCACATAGTACTTTTCATGAATCATGATCACACAGAGTGTGACAGCGGCGTCGTATGGATGGAACAGAGGGAGTGATGTTGATGTCTTGGGTGGAGAGATGTGATGACAGGGTCGAACAAGCAATGGTGTGCAAACAGACTTCTCAGGAGCCTCAAACAACAGTAGAGTGCAACACAGAAGGCAGAACAAGACTCAAGAAGGAGGGCAGCCTTACACACATGCACGTGCCCGCGCTCCCACACACACATACACACACGCACACACCTGTCTGGTGGCGGGGTTGGGGTCCTTGAGACCGGCAGAGAGGATGGGCACCACTGAGGGCAGCACTCGCTCTCCCAGCTTGCGCACCAACTCGCCTATGGCCCGACTGGCCATCTGCGGGACACAAGTGAGAGGCACACAAGTGAGGAAACAAAAGTGAGGGAGAAGATGGGACAGAAAAGGGCAGGCGCAGGTGTTATTCAGCACAGCACTCACTCTCCCAGGTATGTCCAAATGCGTGAACACGAAGACAAGGTAAATGGATTGGACCCGGACATTCTAAATCCAGATCCATTGCCTTTCCCTTTCTCGTCCAGTTCGAGGGCTAACATCAGATCAGATATTGGATCTTCACGTGGCTAACACCAGATCAGATATTGGATCTTCACGTGGCTAACACCAGATCAGATATTGGATCTTCACGTGGCTAACACCAGATCAGATAATCAGTCTGTCCGTGTCAAAGTCTCACCTGGCGGCGCTCGAAGGAGGGCGAGCCGAGGGAGTCGATGAGGAGGCGCATGAGCGTGGGCATGATCTCCTTGAGCGTGCGCGGCGTGTTGGCCACAATAGTTTTCCAAACGTGCACCGCAGACTGCAAAGAGTGAGAGGGGAACACCGAGGAGAGGGAATGCATGAGCGTGAATGAGAGCGCATGAGCGTGGGCATGATCTCCTTCGGGGTGCGTGGGGTGTTGGCCACGATGGTCTTCCACACGTGCACGGCGGACTGCAGTGGGGCGAGAGGTGGCGGTGGGAAGGGAAGGGAGGGAAGTGAGAAGCGATATAAGGTGAATGAGAGCGCATGAGCGTGGGCATGATCTCCTTCGGGGTGCGTGGGGTGTTGGCCACAATGGTCTTCCACACGTGCACCGCGGACTGCACTGCAGTGGTGCGAGAGGGGGAACTATTTGAATCACACACATAGGGAGGAAACACATGAGTGGGCATGCATGCTGGTGAGTGGGGTGGGTGGGCAAGCATGCAGGGTGTTGGATTCCTTCCAGAGCAAGCATGTACGCACCTCAACAGATGCGTTGGGCACAGTAGGCTTCCTCACCTGTCGCACGGACAGAGACACGTCGGATCGAACGATGTACACAGCAGCCAGCCAGCAATATCGAAATCACTTTTGAGAATTCTCAAAAACGATGTACACAGCAGCAAGCCAGCACCTCGTTGCGCTCATCCAGCCCCAGCACGTCCAGAATCGCCCGGCCCTTTTCGAGACACCTCAACTCACTCACACCAAGCCCTCTATGCACCAAGATTGCTACCCCCAGCCAACATGTGCAGAATGAATTTCCTCACCTGTCGCACGGACAGAGACACGTCGGATCGCACGATGTACACAGCAGCCAGCACCTCGTTGCGCCTATCCAGCCCCAGCACGTCCAGAATCGCCCGGCCCTGCGCCTCCGTGCTGGCGCCCTCGTCGTCGCTGCCTCCCTCCAAAACGACCTTCCCTGACGTGCCCGCGACCTGATGTGAGAGACAAGGAAAATGACAGACGGAAGTAGAAAGTTAGAAAAGAGCTGTAGCAAAAACTGCCCGGCCCTGCGCCTCTGTCCGTGCTGGTGCCCTCGTCGACTCTGCCTCCCTCCAGCACCACCTCGCCTGATATGCATGCGACCTGTGATGAGGGAGAAAAAGATAAGGGAAAAAAGCCAAGAATGCTTTGCATCAAGTTTTGATAAAAATCATCCAGTCACTAATCCAGTCAGATAGAACTATGTTTTCTCAATTACAGTCACTTTGAAGGTCCCTAATCCAAGTCAAACGTTGTCATCAAGCATACCCCTCCCCTACTCACTTCGTTATAATCACGTCACCTTGAAGAGCATGTCGCCCAGCAGCTCCATGTAGCTCTGTTATCCATTACAGTCACTTCAATGGTCTCTAGCTCTAGCTGAAGCCACTAGAATCACCCTCCTCCACTCGTTATAATCACCTTGAAGAGCAGGTCACCCAGCAGCTCCATGGAGCTCTGCCTGATCCGCCAGCTGTCGCTGAACAGCCCCTCCTCCACCGCTGGCAGCAGCAGCGGCAGTGAACTGGAAGGAGGAGAAAAAAAAAAAGAGAAGGGGGAGAGAGGGCGTGGGGGGTGGGGGGGAGGGGATGTGGGGGTTGGGGGGGAAAGGGGGTGGAGAACGAGAGCAAGGTGAAAAGAAACGCATTGGCTGTTATAAGCTGGGGATGGGGATGAAGAGGAGAGGATAGGAGGGGGAAACAGGGAGAAAGCATAAGAGAACAGAGAGAAAGAGAACAGACACAGAGAATACGGTGTGAGAATAAACGCACCTGATGGCGTATTGCTGCACCAAGACATGTCCGGCTGCCAGTGCTGCATCGCGCACACTCTCACTCTCATCCGCCAGACCTGGGGGAGGGGGGGGTGGGGTGGGGTGTCATGTGGGAGGGAGGAGACTTTTGAGTCGACTCAAATGTCACCTTGCTGCATCATGCACACTCTCACTCTCACCCGCCCCGCCAGACCTGGGGGAGGGGTGCGGGAGAGAGGAAAGCGGAACGGAACAGGACATTAGCACAAGCACTCTCCCTCTCGTCCACCACCCCTAGACGGGGGTGGGGGGGGACGGTGGGGTGTGGATATGAAGGGAAAAAAGGAAAACGGAAATTCAGGACAAGCACTCCTGGAGAGGTGGACTGATGAAATGAAGTAGGGATGGGAAGCGACAACAACATAGGAAAAATGAGAAAGGGGAGTTGGGGCATCACGTACCGTCGAGGATGGCAGGTAGCACTTGGGGGAGGTAGTTCTGGAAGGGCGCACCGAAGGACAGCGGTAGGTACTGCCAGGCACGGGCGTGGAGGGAAGAGGAGAGGAGGCATTGGAGAAGGAGAGATGAGGAAAAGAGGAGATCTGGCAGCAGCAGCTCAAAGCTGTGCCTTTAAGCATTGACTCCCATTGACCAGCGTTGACCAGCGTTGACTCACCTTGAACAGGGTCAAATACCTATCTCTGTCAGTCGCCACCACCTTGTGCGAGCACCCCGCCAGAAATTCCGGCAGCAACAGCAGCTCGCACTGGTGCTTTTGAGAATTGCCTCCCATTGGCGCACATTGACCAGCGTTGACTCACCTTGAACAGCGTCAGATGCCCGTCTCTGACAGTCGCCACCTTGTGCGAGCACCCCGCCAGCAGGTCTGGCAGCAGCAGCTCGAAGCGGTGCCGGCCCTGCGCCCCTAGCACCTCGCTCAACCCCTGCGCCGCCCCCGACCTCTCCACACTCGATGCATCGGACCTGCAACACAGAAGAAGGCAGGATGAGGAGGTGGAGAAGGCGAGGATGAGAGGGGGGATGTGTAGGAATGCTGGACCGTGAATCTCTCCAGACTGTTCCGCACTCCTTGCATCAGAACAGCCACACAGAGTCACGAAACTCGTGCTCGCCCATGCCGCGCACGAGCGAACCAAACGCCTTGGCCGCCACGGTGCGCACGTCCGGGTGCGGGTCCAGCAGCACGTTCTACAGTCCAGGCAGCAGCAGGTTGAGGAGCAGCTTACCAGTCATTTCCAAACTCTGACAACAAGAATGTCTAGCGAGGGAGAGAGAACGGTTGTAGTCTGTACTGGACGTACCCGATGGTCTCGAGCATCCAGGGGACAAGGTCAGGAAACTCGTGCTCGCCCACCCCTCGCACGAGCGACCCAAACGCCTTGGCTGCCACGGTGTGCACGTCCGGATGGGGATCCAGCAGCACTTTCTTGAGCCCGGGGAGCAGCAGGTTGAGGTAGGGCAGCAGCAGGAGCCGCGGAGCCAGATTACAATCTGAGAGAAAAGATGCCTAGAGAAAGAGACGGGTCGTCGTACGTACCCGATGGTCTCGAGCATCCAGGGAACGAGGTCAGGAAACTCGTGCTCGCCCACTCCACGAACCAGCGACCCAAACGCCTTGGCTGCCACGGTGCGCACGTCTGGATGGGGGTCCAGCAGAACCTTCTTGAGCCCGGGGAGCAGCAGGTTGAGGTAAGGCAGCAGCGAGGAGTGGTCGGTCACGAGGGAGACGGTGTTGCCGACGATCTGTGCTGCGCGCTTCTTGATGTCGGAGGAACGCTCGCGGAGGGCGCGGTGCACAATGGGGATGACGAGGGCCAGGGAGGCTGCATCTATGGAGTTCACAAAAGTGGTCTGGTTTGGGGTGGGCGAGGGGAGAAGGGAGGAAAGAAACAGTGTGGCACGGGTTGAGACGGCGCAAGGGCAGCAGCAGGTTGAGGTATGGCAGCAGCGAGGAGCGGTCCGTGACGAGGGAGACCGTGTTGCCCACGATCTGAGCAGCGCGCTTCTTGATGTCGGAGGAGCGCACTCTCAGTGCGCGGTGCACGATGGGGATGAGGAGGGCGAGGGATGCCGCATCGATGGAGTTCACGAATGTGGTCTGTGATCGGGCGGGTGAGAAAGGATAAGGGAGAACAGAGAAGAATTGTGTGCAATGGTTCAGATGAAAGACTGCTCGCTCTCTCAGCGCGCGGTGCACGATGGGGATGACGAGGGCCAGGGAGGCTGCGTCAATTGAGTTCACAAAGGTGGTCTGGTGGGGGGGAGGGGGGAAGCGGGGATGTGGTGCTTGTTGGGGTTGACAATGCCGGCCAGCAGCGACGACACAAGGGAGGCCAGCACTGCAAGTGTGAGGCATGCGCGGAAAAGAAAGCAGATACACAGATATAACCTGCACTGTAACTGACGTGGTACCTGCAGCAGGAGGTCGAGGCAGGCGCGGGTGTGCTTGTTGGGGTTGGCGATGCCGTCCAGCAGCGATGGCACGAGGGCGGCAATCTCAGGGTTGCGGATCACACTCCCCACCTGCTGCAGCGACGTGTGCGCTGCTGCCTGCACCTTGGGGTGCGTGTCCGTGAGCACCTGATGATAGAGGGGAACGGGGAGAGCAAGGGGGGGCGGGGATTGGAAAGGGAGTGGCAATTAATGTAAAACTGTGTGCTGCAAGGATGTGTCTGCTGCTGCTGCTGCATGCGCCTTGGGCATCTGTCTGACTGTGCGATCACTGGCACAAGGAAGGCATTGCTCCTTTCTACAGGCTCACGTCGCCCACACTCTCGCCACATCGTTTCTTTCCCTCCCTTCGTCACCTCGGTAATTCTCGCGGGTTTTTCACACACTCCCCGCGTTTCGAAACGTCTCAAAAGTTTGGACTCTCTTGCACCCATCGCACCTCGTCTCAAAAGTTTGGACTCTCTCGAAACGCGAGGAGCGTGCGAAAAACGCACGCACGCACCTCGCTGAGATTTGGCACCACGAGTGGCAGGCAGTGCGAGAGCTGGCGGGGCGCTTGGAAGGCCATGAGTGGGAGGCCCCTTACCACCCCAGCACACCCACCTAAATGGGCAGCACATGCACCTCCTTGAATCGCTTAACACACGCACCTCGCTGAGCTTGGGCACCACGAGTGGCAGGCAGTGGGAGAGCTGGCGGGGCGCACAGAAGGCCATGGCTCCCAGCAGCTGCACACTGCCCTGCTTGCTGCGCCACGCCTTCTCCTCCAGACCCTGCTCAACAGAAGGGTGGGAAGATGGAGAAAAGTGGTGGGAAATCGGGCATGGAAGGAGGGAGGAATATGGAATAAAGAGCAGAAGGGAGAATGTGCAGAACAGAAGGGAAGGTTTCCAGCAGTTGCATGCTGCCTGCTTGCTGCGCCACGCCTTCTCCTCCAAGCCCTGGTCAACAGAAGGGAGTGAAGAGGGAGGAGGTGGGTTTAAACCAGGCAGGGAGGTTAAGATGGGCAAGGAAGATAAATGAACCGTGGCCTCCCGCACTGGCGTGGCCGTGTCTGTGCTGTGCTGTGCTGTGCTGTGCTGTGCTGTGCTGTGCTGTGCTGTGCTGTGCTGTGCTGTGCTGTGCTGTGCTGTGCTGTGCTGTGCTGTGCTGTGCTGTGCTGTGCTGTGCTGTGCTGTGCTGTGCTGTGCTGTGCTGTGCCTGAGAAGCAGATCCCCCAGTCGATTCGAGCTTCTCTCACCTTGAGCAGCGTGGGCAGGATGAGCTTGACTTGACCCCAGGCAGGCGCGCTGAGTTGCCCCATAAGGAGTTGATTTTTGAGTTGACTCAGAAGTCATGACGCCAGGGGCGCTGAGCTGCCCCATGATGCAGCGAGACGCATGCACCGTGGCCTCCCGCACTGGCGTGGCTTGGTTGGTGTGAGTGAGTGAGCAGCTGATTTACTGCTTCACCCAAACATCTCTCACCTTGAGCAGCGCGGGCAGGATGAGCTTGACCCCAGGGGCGCTGAGCTGCCCCATGATGCAGCGAGACGCATGCACCGTGGCCTTGCGCACTGGCGTGGCTTGGTTGGTGTGAGTGAGTGAGCAGCTGATTTACTGCTTCACCCAAACATCTCTCACCTTGAGCAGCGCGGGCAGGATGAGCTTGACCCCAGGGGCACTGAGCCGCCCCATGATGCAGCGAGACGCATGCACCGTGGCCTCCCGCACTGGCGTGGCATGGCTGGTGTGAGTGAGTAGCTGATTTACAGTTGACGTGACTCAAACATCTCTCACCTTGAGCAGTGCAGGGAGGATGAGCTTCACCCCAGGGGCGCTGAGCTGCCCCATGATGCAGCGAGACGCATGCACCGTGGCCTCGCGCACTGGCGTGGCTGTGTCTGAGTAGCACACCAGAAGATACGGCAGGATGTGAATCACGTAGCTGGTGATAGGGGGGGGGGGGGGGGGGGGGGGGGCAGGGGTGCCAGGGGGGGTTAGAACGGAGAGGAAGAAGTCGGTTCAGCTGATGATGGCGGAGTTGAGTTGAGAGAAAGGCATCGGACAGGCCATAGGGAAGAAAAAGCTGACTTTTGAGTCGACTCAAAAGTCAACAGGCCATAGGGAAGAAAAAGCTGACTTTTGAGTCGACTCAAAAGTCAACAGGCCATAGGGAAGAAAAAGCTGACTTTTGAGTCGACTCAAAAGTCAACAGGCCATAGGGAAGAAAAAGCTGACTTTTGAGTCGACTCAAAAGTCAACAGGCCATGGGGAAGAAAAAGCTGACTTTTGAGTCGACTCAAAAGTCAACAGGCCATAGGGAAGAAAAAGCTGACTTTTGAGTCGACTCAAAAGTCAACAGGCCATGGGGAAGAAAAAGCTGACTTTTGAGTCGACTCAAAAGTCAACAGGCCATAGGGAAGAAAAAGCTCAACTCACAGTTCGAAGCGTTAACTTACGGTTCAAAGAGGCGACCAAGCTTCTCAGACAGGCATTCGAAGCCAAAAAGAGCTCCTTCTCTTGCCTTCGGGGATGACCTGGTTGGGGACAAGGGCAGCAAGCAACAGCAACGAGCAGCAAAGAGCACTTTTGGTCTAACATGAGAGAAGGACGGAATGGATTCTCTCAGCAGCAGTGGAGAACAACACTTCGAAAGTTCAAATTAAAGGAGCTAAAAGATTTTCATTCATGAATCCTTCCTTCAACCATCCTCCTCACTTCCATCAGTATAATACTCCGCCCCACCCAGTTCCCCCCGACTCACTTGTCCTCCACGCCCTTGATCAGTGCCAGCAGCACGCCACAATCTCTGATGCTCCTCAGCCCCAGTCCCTTCACCTTACCTTCCTTCATCTCCCCCCCCCTCCAACCCTCGTTGCTTCCGCTTCTCCCCTCCCACCCCAATCAATTGTCCTTCACGCCTTTGATCATTGCCTGCAGCACGCCATGATCTTTCATGCTCCTCAACCCCAGCCCCTTCACCACCTGAGAAAAGTAACATTTTGAGACGTCTCAAAATGCCTGCAGCACGCCATAATCTCTGATGCTCCTCAGCCCCAGTCCCTTCACCTTACCTTCCTTCATCTCCTCCCTCAGCCCCAGCCCCTTCACCACCCCTGTCAGCCACCCACCTGCGCACCACTCCTCTGACTGTAAACTTATCTCACATTCCCTTCACCCCAGTCACCCCACTCACTTGTCCTCCATGCCCTTGATCAGCGCCTGCAGCACACCAAAATCCCGAATGCTTCTCAGACCCAGCCCCCTCACCTTCCATCCTACTTCCATCACACCATCCGCCCCACTCACTTGTCCTCCACGCCCTTGATCAGCGCCTGCAGCACACCATAATCCCCGATGCTCCTCAGCCCCAGCCCCTTCACCACCCCAGCCAGCAAGCCACATTGCTGCACTCCCCTGGGACCTGACAATAAAAAAATTTCCTACCTTCCCTTCACGCCATTCCGCTCCACTCACTTGTCCTCCACGCCCTTGATCAGCGCCTGCAGCACACCATAATCCCGAATGCTCCTCAGACCCAACCCCTTCACCACTCCAGCCAGACCAAACGCTGCGCCTCTCCTCTCGGCAAAGCGGTCGCTCGTCAGCAGCACCTTCAGCTGCTGGGCTATGAGTGCCTGGGCGCCTCCCTCCTGAAGGGGAGGAGCAAAAGGGGGAGAAAGAGGAACGAAGAAAATACGGGAATGAGGAAAGGGAAAGGGGGAAGAGGTCAAGCCACCTTCGGTCACAAGTCAGATCCCTCTTCTCTGCAAAGCGGTCGCTCGTCAGCAGCACCTTGAGCTGCTGGGCTATGAGCGCCTGCTCTCCACCCTCCTGTGGAGTAGGAGAGAGGAGGGGAGAAAGTGCAACAGGAAAGGGATGTTAGGTTAAGCCAACTCCAGAGCAAAAGACGTGTCTCTCTCTCCTCTCTGCAGAGCGGTCGCTCGTCAGCAGCACATTCAGCTGCTGGGCTATGAGCGCCTGGGCTATGAGGAGTCGCAAGAGCGGGAAATTAGCCCACTTCAGCTTCCTATTCCCCTCCTTAGTAGAAAGTATATCTTACATTATAGCAGTGTGATACTCGGTCGGTGCGCAACGCCACCAAGTGCGACACAGAGGGTGATGTTCTGTTGAATACTCAACGGAAACACTACGTGCAGCGCAATACTCCGAGGCTCTGAGGCGAAGAACATGAGTTTTGACACGTCTCAAAACTGCTCCGAGGCTCTGAGGCGAGGAACACAAGGAGACATGATGCTCAGCTAGCGAGGAGACGCACGCACCTTGAGGGAGATGGCGGGCATGAGAGGCGGTAGGCAGTCGGACACAGCCCTCTGCACGGCCTCTGAGGGCGTGTTGAGCACCTCCAACAGCCGGGCCAGGATGAGCGCCACCTTGGGGTCTTCCTGCATGTCCGCACAGGGGGTGGGGGGTAAGAAACAGCAGGGGTTAGATCGAGGGGTAGTAGGCAGTCGGAGACGGCCCTCTGTGCGGCCTCTGAGGGCGTGTTCAGCACCTCTAGAAGCCGGGCCAGGATGAGCGCCACCTTTGGGTCCTCCTGCACAGGTAAGAGTTATGGTTGGAAAACAGTTTCAGCCAAAGTGAGTTAAGCTGAACGGAGCACTGCAGGCGGTGTGGTGTCAAAACACATGCCAAACGACATTCCTCCAAGAGGCGTCTGACAGAGAAACAGGTTAACAAGACAAACTGCGCGCAATTCAGAGGTACATTTGAGCCGTACCGGGGCAAGATGCTTTGCGAGGGCACCGAGGAAGACCACCACGCCCTCTCGCACAAGATCATAGCTGTGCTCGTTGTCCGCCTGCTCCACAATGCAATGCAGGGGCGCAAAGGGGAGAAGGAAGGGGAAAGGAGGTACGACTTTTGAGTCAACTCAAGGGCACCGAGGAAGACCACCACGCCCTCCCGCACAAGATCATAGCTGTGCTCGTTGTCCGCCTGCTCTCCAAGAGTGGAGGGTGTAGGGGAGAGTGGAGGGGGGGAGAGGGGTCTTGAGATCATAGCTGTGCTCGTTGTCCGCCTGCCCTCCAAGGCAGAGAGAGGAGGGAGAGTAGCGAGGGGGGCACAAGTGGGTGGAGAACAGAGGGGAGGGAAAGGGGAAGAAGGGGGAAAGGACAGACCAGAGAGTAGATGTTGGGAACAGTAGAGCGCCAGACATTCTTCCCATGCCACACCTTCTTGTCACCATGCATACAAGCACACCTTTCGGTCGAGGTAGTTCTCAAAGATGGGCAGCAGCAGCAGCCCCACGTTCTCCTTGCCTTTGATTTCCTGCTCATTGCTCACTCACTACTACAACCCCCAACTGCTACAATCCCCTCACACTGCACCTTCTTGTTACCACACACACACACAAGCACACCTTGCGGTCGAGGTAGCTTTCAAATATGGGCCACAGCAGCCCCACGTTCTCCTTGCATTTCATGCTCGTTGCTGAGTTACCGCTACTGCAACCCCCAGCTGCTACAATCCCCTTCACACAAGCACACCTTTCGGTCGAGGTAGTTCTCAAAGATGGGCAGCAGCAGCCCCACGTTCTCCTTGCCATGCCGGTTGATGATTGCCAAACCTGCCTCCACCATGCGCCTCCGAACCTCCTCGTTAGGATCGGCCTGTTCGAGAAAAATCAGGGTGGGTGAGGACGACCATAGAGAAGGGCTCAATTCACTGCTTGAAACGATCTCACATTTTACAGCAAAACAAATCAACACTCAGCGCAGAAGTTTGCAGAACCAAAGAATTAACTTTGGAGCATGGGAAAAGGAATCACCAGAGCCTTGGAGATGAGGAACGTGGCGACAAGTGGCAGCTCCTTAGTGGTCAGCACGTCAGCAGCAGCTCGCATCGCCAGAGCCATGCCCTCCCTGCTGTGCCACGTGGCATCATCTTGAGGCCGCCACATGGCAGACTGAGGTGGCGCATCCCGCACATACAGCGAGAACAGGCTCGTCAAACTGGTCTGGATCGTGCCTCGGTACTCGTCCATAGCTGCCGCCATAGCCTCGGCAGCCGCCAGCCGAACCTCCTGGCTCGGGTTCCCGAGGCTGACAATCAGGTTCGGCGCGTACTCCGGGCCTAGCTGGTGCCCGTACATGTCCCAGACCATCTCGGCAGCCTCGGCGTTGGCAGGTTCGGGGTCGTATTGGGCCATCCAGATGGCACAGGCCACATATGGGTCTTGGGGGGCCTTGCCTGCTGCTAGGGTTGGAATGTACTTGACTGCTTCCAGACACGCCTCCCTCACATGTGCCTGCTCTGCAAACAGACCCTCTAGTGCCTGGAGGAGGGAGGGGAGGGGAGCAGAGGGGGAAGCAGCGTGGGTGCAAGCAAGAGTAGATGAATCTGACTGCTTTCAGACACGCCTCCCTCCCATGTGCCTGCCCTGCAAGCAGACCCTCTCGCACAGCACTGGCTGCACTCGCATCGCAGAATCACATCACACACACCCCCAAGAACTGCAACTTACCCCTCCAATCTCGTCCAGCTTCAGGCCCCTGCAGAGCTCCCTAAGGATCGGCTGCACCCGTGTGTGGTAGATGTGCACGCGGCCCAACACGTGGTAGGGCACCACAAAGCACAGCACAGTATAGCGTAGAGACAAGAACCGCAAAATACCCCCACTCACCCCTCCAATCTCGTCGGACTTCAGGCCCCTGCAGAGCTCCCTCAGAATCGGCAGCACGCGTGAGGGGTAGATGCGGACGCGGCCCAACACGTGGTAGAGCACTGAGACTAGGCACAGACTGACGGACCAGAACCGCACAGAACCCCCGCAAACCGCAACTCACCCCTCCGATTTCATCTGATTTCAAGCCTCTGCAGAGCTCCCTCAGAATCGGCTGCACGCGTGAGTGGTAGATGCGCACGCGGCCCAACACATGGTAGAGCACCGAGATCATGGCGAGGCGCGGCAGAGCGATGAAGGGCGAGGTGTGGAGCTGCAGAATGGAGATGATGGAGTCGTGCAGACGCGTCTTCTTGTTTGCCCGAAGCACTCTCTCGAAGATCTGAGGAGAGGGGGGATGGAGGGGACATAAAAGAGTAGTGAGACGTCTGGGCTATGAGCATGTGATGGAGGATGAGGTGTGCAGGTGCAGGATGGAGATGATGGAGTCGTGCAGGCGGGTCTTCTTGTTTGCCCGGAGGACTCGCTTGAAGATCTGAGGAGAGGAGGAGCATCGGGACGGGGGATGAGGGAATGAGCATAGGGACGGGGGATGAGGGAATATAAGGCAATAATGAGGCAGGGCAGTGCAATGAATGGCGAGGTGTGCAGGTGGACGGTGGAGAGGATGGAATCATGCAGCCGGGTTTTCTTGTATGTCCGAAGAACTTGCTGAAAGATCTGACAGGCGGGGAAACATAAAACAAGAATGACATGCGGCTGAGGGATGAAGGGCTGGGCAAGGTGTGCAGTGCAGCTGGTCCTCACTCATTATCAAGCAGACAGTGACCGTTTGATTTTTAGAAGTCTCAAAACCAACCAGCAGCAGGATGAAGGGCTGGGCAAGGTGTGCAGCTGGTCCTCACCTCACTCATTATCAAGCAGACAGTAACCGCCACTCACTTGCCAACAAACAGACGGACATGCAGCCCCCGACTCACCGGAAACACAGCACCAAACGTGGCAGCAGGCAGCGACCCTCCCTCCTTGCACGCCGCCCACACAGCCCTCACCACCCTGTCCACCACACTCTCCTCCTTCTTCCTCCTCCTCTTCCCCTCCGTTTCCTCCTCCTCGCCCTCCTCCGCGCTCTCCTCCTTAAGCTGCTCCGCCAGGCTCTCCCCTGCGAGGGAGACGGAGCAGAGGGCGGAGGCGACGTCCCAGGAGAAGGGCTGCAGCGCCGGAGAGAGGCAGCGCATCACCAGCGCCAGCGCATCAAAGGCCTGCGAGGGGATGAGTGGGGAGCGCAGCAGCGGCAGTATGGACGCCACCTGAGGGGGTTGGGGGCGATGGGTGGAGGGGGGAAGGGAGGGAGGGAGGAGGAAGGGAAAGATGATGGGGTTTTGAGTTGACTCACCCCCCTCTGCACTCGCTCTCCTCCTTAAGCTGCTCCGCAAGGCTCTCCCCTGCGAGGGAGACAGAGCAGAGGGCGGAGGCGACGTCCCAGGAGAAGGGCTGCAGCGCCGGGGAGAGGCAGCGCATCACCAGCGCCAGCGCATCAAAGGCCTGTGAGGGGATGAGCGGCGAGCGCAGCAACGGCAGAATGGCCGCCACCTGGGGAGGGGATCAGAGAGGAGAGGGGTACGGAGGAGGCAAGGCCATGTGAGCTGGCGCAAAGGTCTCCCACACACTCTCGTACCCAAGCTGCCCTGCAGCGCGTCAAAGGCTTGCGAGGGGATGAGCGGCGAGTGCAGCAGCGGCAGTATGGACGCCACCTGGGGGAACAGGAAGAAGAGAGGGAGGAGAAGGGAACAGAGGGAAAGAAGATGGCAGGAATGGGGAATACAGATGGTTTGTTCAAGAATTGGGCCATTATTGAGACAAAATATCATCGTGTGCTGCAGCAATCAAACCAAACAAATCAGAGGGCACAGTCAGTAATCAGAATCGAACAGCGTGATGGAAAGATTGAGGAGCGCTCACAAGCTGAGGCAACTGGTCGTGTGAGAAGGCCGGGTTGGCAGCAGCAGCAGCACCAAGCGTCCTTTTGAGTTGACTCAAAAGTCAGAGAGCACAGTTGCACAGCACCAACGTTGCATGGCAACACAGTGTTGTAATTTCATATTTCATACAACATACATAGGCTAGAAGTGTAGCACATTTATAAATTGGGGGGTTGCTTAGTGTACCCTTCTACCACATTTTGTGGTTGGTTGGGACTGGTCCTTAGCTCAACCAATCCCAACCAACACACATTTGTGGTTGCTTGGGTCACAAGCAAGCTCACCCATTGGCCAACTTATTGGCCAATAGGGTAAGCTTCCCTCTCATCTCTCTCTTGCTCATTGTTTGTACTAAAGAGCCTCTTGGCTCATTGTTCAATGTATCAATTCTCTCTTTTATAACATGGTATCATGAGCTAATGGCTCACGCCTACCTCCCTCGGTCCTTAGGCCACCCTCTCCTCCCCGTTCCTCAGATCTAGCCCCACCCTCAGATCTAGGGCCACCCTCTCCTCCCTTCACGCGCCCTTTAGGCGCTGTCCTCCCTCCCCGTGCGCCCCCTAAGGCGCTGCCCTCCAAGGCACGTCCAGATCTGCAACTCCAGCGCCCAGATCTGCACTCCCTGCGCTCAGATCTGCAACTCCAGCGCCCAGATCTGCACTCCCTGCGACCAGATCTACTCCTCCCGCGCCTAGATCTGATCATTCCGCGGCCAGATCTGGATTCCGCGCCACCAGATCTCCTCCTCCCGCGCCCAGATCTGAACATTTCGCACCCAGATCTGCACTCCGCCCGCCCAGATCTGCACTCCGCCCGCCCAGATCTGCACTCCGCCCGCCCAGATCTGCACTCCGCCCGCCCAGATCTGCACTCCGCCCGCCCAGATCTGCACTCCGCTCGCCCAGATCCGCCCTCCGCGCGCTCAGATCTGCACTCCGCGCAACCAGATCTGCACTCCGCGCAATCAGATCTGCCCTCCGCGCGACCAGATCTGCCCTCCGCGCGACCAGATCTGCCCTCCGCGCGACCAGATCTGCCCTCCGCGCGACCAGATCTGCCCTCCGCGCGACCAGATCTGCCCTCCGCGCGACCAGATCTGCCCTTCGCGCGACCAGATCTGCACCTCCCGCGCTGAAATCTGACCATTTCGCGCCCATCTCTGCACGTCCCGCTCGTTTGCCGCGGGCTGTCCCGCGTGCATTCGCCACGGGCTTCCCAGTCGCGCGGATCTGCCGCACGGCTGCCCTCTTCGTCCCCTCCCCCCCCCCCTCTCTCTCCTCCTCCAATCCTACCTGCAGCAGCACCAGCAGCAGCACCTGCAGCGGCACCACCAGCAGCACCCTTCCCCCTTGCCTCCCCCATAGCATCGCCCTCCTCCTCCTCCCTCCTCCTCCCATCCTACCTGCAGCAGCACCAGCAGCAGCACGTGCAGCGGCACCACCAGCAGCACCCTTCCCCCTTGCCTCCCCCATAGCATCGCCCTCCTTCCCCGCTCGCTGTCCCCCTCCCCTCGTCCGCCCCCTGCCCACCTCCCTGGCATACAACACATCTGCACGCGCATACAGCACATCTGACAGCACATACCGCACACCTGACTGCACCTGCCACATACTCCTCTAGCACTAACGAAACTGCGTTCCAGTCCTCTGTCCCTTCCTCCTCCCTCTCCTCCACTGTCGATTTTGTCCTCGACAGCGGCGCCACTGACACAGTTCTTCGCGATGCTGGCACCTTGCGCCCCCTCCCAACGCCTACCTCCCTCCTTGGTGCCGACAGCAGCTTCTCTATCCCCTGCCATAACACCTCGACTCTCCCCTGCCCACTCTTCCCCTCAGGCACTGTCACCGGTCTCCACATACCCTCTCTTCGCGCTAATCTCCTTTCGCAAAGGTCCCTTCAGCAAGCCGGTATCACCACAGTATTCCCAGCTCATGCTAACTATTGCGCTCTCTACCATTCCGCCACCGGTCAGTTCCTTTCTCGCATTCCCTTTTGCCCTCGCTCCCGTCTGTACACCCTTCGGGTTCCTCGCCTCCCCTCCTGTCAGGTCATCTCTCGTCCCCCCCTCCACCCTCTCATCCCACCTCCTCCTCTCCCTCCCACTAACCCGGACCTCCCTTCCCGCCCCCCCCTTGACTCCTCTTGCTCCTGTCGCTCCCTCTCCCACCCTGCCGTCCTCCTCCATCACAGGCTAGGTCACCCTAACTTCGCTACTCTACGCTCCTCTGTTTCCACTGGTCTCCTCCACGGTCTCCCCTCCTCCCTCCCTCCCCTCCCCAAATCCCCTGCCCCCCCCTGCATCGTCTGCGTTCAGAGCAAGCTCAAGCAGCAGCCGCACCGGAGCTCCCCCTCCGCTGCTGCGCAGCCACTTGATCTTGTTCACATGGACCTCTGGGGCCCCAATCCCTCTCCCACTCGCCAGGGCCATCGATACCTCCTCGTACTCGTCGATGATCACAGTCGGTACTCGTCCGTCTCTCTCCTTCGGACGAAGGCAGATGCCCCAGCTGCGATCATCGCCTGGCTCGAACGGGCAAATACCCATTTTGGGCGCCCTGTTCACCGTCTTCACTCTGATGGTGGTGGTGAGTTCCTTAACAACCAAATATCCTCCTACTGTCAGTCTCATGGCATTCTTCAGACTTACACCCTCCCTCACTCCCCACAGCAGAACGGTGTGGCTGAAAGTCGTGTTCGAGAGATCACCAAAACTGCCCGGTGTCTTCTTGTCCACGCCTCCTGCCCTCCTTCTCTGTGGGGCTACGCCCTCCTTCATGCCGCCCTCCTTACTAATCTTTACCCTCACCCTCTTCTCCCATCCACCACCCCCACTGAGCTGTGGACGAACAACAAACCTGATGTCTCGTCTCTTCGTGTCTGGGGCTCAAAGGCCTATGTTCTCCTTCACCCCACTGACCGCTCCCGCTCTATGGGAAAACTTGCCCCTCGTACCCTTCCCTGCATCTTTCTCGGTCATAACTCCTCCTCACCTGACTACCTTTTCCTCCATCCCCCCTCAGGTCGTCTATTCCGCAGTAGGGATGTGGTCTTTGATGAGTCCACTCCCTACTACTCCTCTCCCCCATCCACTGACCCACTCCCCCGTCTTCCCCGTCCCCTTGTCTGGTCTGACACCACCCCTCCCCCACTACTTCCTCCTCCCCCCATCCTCCCTCCCCCCCCCCCCCCACCGTCGTCCCACGGTGCCCCTCCCTCGTCTGGTGATATATTTGACCCGGAACCTCTGTCCTCTCCCGTCTCCCCCACACATTCCTCTCCTAGTGCCCCTCCCGCCCCTCCTTCACCTCCCTCGCCGCCGACTCGTCCTTCCCCCCCTCCCCGCACCGTACTTACCCGGTACCCCCATACCAGGTCACGTGACAGTATCCTTGGTGCACCGCCCCCTGTTACCCTCTCTACCTCTACCCTCCCCCCACTCTCCCCTCTCCTTCACCACTTCTTCCAGGCTGTTCTGCATCAACCTCCTCTTGCAGCAGCCCCCTCTGCCACCTCTCCAGCAGCGGCGCCAGCAGCAGCGTCCGCAACGGCACCCGCAGCGGCACCAGCAGCAGGACCAGCAGCGGCACATGCAGCAGCACCAGCAGCGGGACCAGCAGCGGGACCAGCAGCGGCACCAGCAGCGGGACCAGCAGCGGCACTAGCAGCGGCACCAGCAGCGGCACCAGCAGCGGCACCAGCAGCGGCACCAGCAGCGGCACCAGCAGCGGCACCAGCAGCGGCACCAGCAGCGGCACGTGCAGCGGCACCAACGGTCATCCGCTCCTTCCACACCTCCCTCTCCGAGGACTCGCATGAGGAGTTCCTTGACCTCCACCTCTGTGACCCTTCCCTTCTACCCATCACCTTCGACCGCTCTGGGACACCAGTATTCGCATTCTCCTCTGCTCCCTCCGTTTTCATCCCTACCACGTATGAGGAGGCCATGGCTTGCCCCGACGCCCCACTCTGGCTCGCCGCCATTATCAAGGAGCTGGAGGCCTTTGTCGCCAACTCCTCCTTCGTTGATGTGCCTCGCCCTCCTTCCTCAACGAACGTGGTGAAAGGGAAGTGGGTGTTTCGCGTCAAACAGCTGCCAGGGGAGCCGCCCGTCTATAAGGCTCGTTACTGTGCCAAGGGGTTCACGCAGCGGTATGGTTTTGACTTCTTCGATACCTTCTCTCCCACTGCCAAGCCTGCTACTGTTCGCGCAGTGCTCGACCTCGCCGCTCGCCTCAATATGGAGATCCACTCAATGGACGTCTCTAACGCTTTCCTCCAAGGCGTCCTCCGCGAGCTTATCTACATGGAGCGTCCGGCCGGTTTTCACCTTCCCTTCCCTGCAGACTCTGTCTGGCAGCTGCGTCGCCCTGTGTATGGGCTTCGACAGGCCCCGAGGGAGTGGCATGCTAAGCTTGCCGCCACCCTTGCTGAGCTTGGGTTCCGCACCTCCCGCTCTGACACCAGCCTCTTCCTCCGCACCTGCCCCTCCCCGTTCTACATCCTTGTGTATGTCGATGACATGATTCTGCTCACTGCCGACCTTGGCGAATTGGAGCGTGTTAAGGCTGAGTCGGGCAGCCGTCTCAAATGCAAGGGCTTGGGTGAGCTGCAGCATTACCTGGGCATGACCATCACCCGTGACCGCTCCGCCCGCACCATCTCTCTCTCCCAGGATCATTACTTGCAGCAGGTCTTGGAGCGGTTTGACATGGTCCGCGGTGGCGCCCAACCTACTCCTCTTTCTATCGGGCACCACCTCTCTCCACCCACCTCCCCTTCAGCCTCCTCCCATCCTTATCCCGAGCTCATCGGCTCCCTCATGTACGCCATGGTCTCCACTCGCCCTGACCTTGCCTACCCCATCAGCGTCCTCGCTCGTTTTGTTGGCGCAGGCAAGCATACGGAAGAGCACTGGCAGGCCGCCAAGCGTGTCCTCCGGTACCTTCGTGGCACCAAGGACTATGTCCTTACCCTTGGCGGTCCCTCCCCACCTCTTCTCAGCGGCTACAGTGACTCCTCCTGGGCTGATTCCCGGCCAGATCGTCGCTCCTCCCAGGGCTATGGCTTCTCTCTTGGCAGCGGCCTTATCAGCTGGCGCTCCACCCGCTCCTCGGCTGCAGCCCTCTCCTCCTGCGAGGCGGAATTGTATGCCGCCACCATGGCTGCGCAAGAGGCTCGCTGGCTCACCTTCCTTCTTGAGGAACTTGGTGCCTCCCAGCGCTGTCCCACAATTTGGTGTGACAATGCTAGTACCATTCACCTCACCAAAGATGCTGTGTTTCACGGGCGCTCCAAGCACATTGAGCTCCGTCATTTCTTCATTCGCGATCTTGTTCAGGCGGGGCACCTTCGCCTCGACAAGGTTGACTCGGCGGCCAACCTTGCCGACATCTTCACAAAAGCTCTTCCTCATGCCGCTCACTCTTTCCTACTTCGTCTTCTTGGCCTCACTCCTCCTAAGTCGCCTCCCGCCTCTTGATTCTAGCCTTCTAGCCTTATGCATGTTGGGGGGTTGTGTTGTAATTTCATATTTCATACAACATACATAGGCTAGAAGTGTAGCACATTTATAAATTGGGGGGTTGCTTAGTGTACCCTTCTACCACATTTTGTGGTTGGTTGGGACTGGTCCTTAGCTCAACCAATCCCAACCAACACACATTTGTGGTTGCTTGGGTCACAAGCAAGCTCACCCATTGGCCAACTTATTGGCCAATAGGGTAAGCTTCCCTCTCATCTCTCTCTTGCTCATTGTTTGTACTAAAGAGCCTCTTGGCTCATTGTTCAATGTATCAATTCTCTCTTTTATAACACATAGGATGCAAGAGATGTGAGGATTGAGGAGCGCTCACAAGCTGAGGCAACTGGTCGTGTGAGAAGGCCGGGTTGGCAGCAGCAGCAGCACCCAGAGCCCGCACCAGCACCCCCGTGTGCCTCTGAATCCCCCTCACTCTCTCCCTCACTCCAGCCTCCTCCAGCAGCAGAGCCTCCCTCGCCTCCTCCTTGGCTGTCTTCCCCTTCTCCCCCTCGCCTGCTGCTGTTTTCTTTGCCCCCGGCTTGCCCGTGTCCTTCTTGCCTGCTCCTCTCCCAGCCGCCCCCTTGGCTCCACCGGCCCCAGCTGCTCCCCGTGCTGGCGTGGGCTGCATATAGAGGGTGGGTGGAAGAGAGGCAAGGGGATGGTAAAGGAATTGCCTTCTTTTCCCCGAGCTTCCCCGCCTCCTCTCCCAGCCGGCCCCATAGCCCCACTAGCTCCGCGTAGTTTGCTTGAACTTCCAAGAAAAGTTGCTGCCTTCTATGTGCAAATGGTGCGCATGTGCCCAGCTAGTAATGGATGGCGGCGGTAACACGAAACGAAGTGACGACGTGGAGCACGAAGTGATGACCTGGAGCACGAAGTGATGACGTGCAGCACGAAGTGATGACGTGGAGCACGGAGTGATGACGTGGAGCACGGAGTGATGACGTGGAGCACGAAGTGATGACGTGGAGCACGAAGTGATCACGTGCAGCACAAAGTGATGACGTGGAGCACGAAGTGTGGCGAGATGATGTGGTTGTCAAGGCAGCACCACGCAGTTGGGTGGCGGAAGGCGGGGAAGACCGATCAATCAAAGTTCATTTCTTTCATGATGGGGTTAGACTTTGAACTTCACAACAGAGCACCAATCGCAGAAGCCGGTTTTGTCTCAGTAGCAATACCGTCGCCTTGATTGCACATGAAAAACGGACTGATGGGGTTGGGTATTTGGACTTGACAAAAGCGTCCCACTCACAGCAGCAGTTTTCTTCACAGCAGCAGCAGGGGTGGGTTTGCTCGGCACGGCTCCTCCTCCTATCATCGTCCAGCTCCGCACAGACTCAAAATTCGGATCAGCACCAAACAATGCTCAGCTTGCCCCTTGCCTGCCTGCTCCACGGCCCTTGACGTTATCAGAATCACTCTGCAAGCAACTCACAGCAGCACTTTTCTTTGCAGCAGCTCCGCACCGTACAGCTTCAGCTTGCCCCTCGCCTGCCTCACGTTCATTAGTACTCCCAGAAACACCCCGCAAGCAACTCACAGCCGTGCTTTTCTTTGCAGGGGCAGCAGCAGGGGCGGGTTTCTCCTCCTCGTCGTCATCATCGTCCAGCTCGGCACCGTACAGCTTCAGCTTGCCCCTCGCCTGCCTCACGTTCTTATCCCTCACCACCGCCGCCACATACACTCCGTCCTCGGCTGAGAGCATGCCCTCAGGCGTGTTAAATATCTGGGAAGGAGGTGGAAACCAGTACACCAGAGCAGGGAGGCAGCAAGACAGAGGCAGGGTACGTGTTAGTTGTTCCGCACGTTCTTATCCCTCACCACCGCTGCCACATACACTCCGTCCTCCGCTGAAAGCATGCACTCAGGCGTGTTAAATATCTGGGAAGAGGAAGGTGGAAACCAGTACACCAGAGCAGGAGGCAGCAAGATAGAGGCAGGGTACGTGCTAGTTGTTCCGCACGTTCCTGTCCCTCACCACCGCCGCTACGTACACTCCGCCCTCAGCTGAAGGCATGCCCTCAGGCGCGTTGAATATCTGGGAGGAGGGAAGCACGGGAGGAAAGAAGGAAGGAGACCACACATATGACGTCAGGGTCAGGGCAGGAGAGAGATAGAGGTAAGGTATGCACTAGATGTACCGTGTATCTCGCGTTCTTATCCCTCGCTCTGCCACATCACTTACACTGTGCCGTCACTGGTGTGCAGAATATTACCGGCAATGAGATGAGAAGCAATAGCACATGCAGTCGTGTACATCGTTTTGTGGTTATCATGAGCGTATGTCATCTTGATCCTACTGTTTCCCTTGCCATGCTGTGTTATGCCATGCCATGCCATGGTATGGCATGGCTCACCATTCTGTATTGTGCCGTGCCATGCCAATGCCATCCCTACCTTAATCTCCGACTCTGTGAGAGCGTCATGCTCCTTCCGCTGTCCCACTGCCTCCAGTTCCTGCCATGCCATGCATGTCGCACAGGGAGAGTCATGGTTGATTAGCAGCAGTGAGAAGCATGGGTGGTGGGTCACTTGCTGGCTGGGAGGCAAAACACAGTTGCCAGATAGACAGGCATGAGCTGTTGCGTTGATCATAGAGGGTACGGCATGCTTTTAAGCAGAGAAATTGAGGCCGGTAAAAACAGCTCAAAAAGAGCAATTGTGGGAGAATGCAGCCTCATCATTTCAAGTGACAGGTGTCGTCCTGCCGTACTCTTCGCGCACAAACGTGCTGCCTGCTTTCCCCCCAATGCCACCATTAAGCACGTCACACTGCCACTCACAGCATGCCACTCACATACTCATCCATCGATACGTGTTTTGAGGCGAATCGAAAGCCGTACTCTTCACTCACGAACGTGCTACCTGCTTTCCCCGCAATGCCACCGTTTGCACTACACACTGCCACTCACAGCATGTTACGTACTCATCCACGTGTGCCATAGTGTAGTGGCATACCGTGACTAGAGGCTGGAAAAACTCTGCGGGAATGAGCCGCATGGCAGATTGGATGGCTGAGATGGCGGCATCTGACTGAGCTGGACGGCTGGATGCGAGACCCGCTGGTCCAGTCAGAATCTGGGGAGAGTTCACAGGAGCATTATAAGCAGCAGCAAGGAGAGGGGGAAGGTTGAGAGGTCACAATGTAATTGAATGGCCATTGAGACTTGGAAAAAGCAGATTGAAAAGGGGAATGCATGGCGATTGAGCCTTGCATGCATTTAGTAACAGAGTCACTCAGCCAGTGCTTGGATGCATCCATACCTTAGCCACAACAACAGGCTCCGCGGCTAGAGTGGCAGACACCTCGTATGCCCGACGCTGCCATGCCCTTACGAGCTCCTGGGGGGGTTGGGTTGGTGTATTGTATGGAGAAAGAAGCAAAAACTCCAAAGTTATCTCAAGAACAAGAGCCCTGAGATGAGACGAAGAACCTCAAATCTAACGTACAGAGTTCTCAACCCTCAAGGACCAATGCTGGATTCTCACCCCAGGTATAATAAACCCAAGTGAACGCATTCAACCGCACTGAATCCCCTCGCGTGCTCACCTGCCAAACCATGTCTCTCCTCTTTCCCCCAGCAACGAGCCCATGGTGTGCCAGCGCATCACCCGTGCCGTCACGGGCCCTGTGCCCGTCACCACTGGCTAGACATGCATCACCACACTCAATTTCTCTAAACTGCACTGAACCGCACTGTAATGCTCACCTGCCACACGACATCTCTCTTCTTCCCCCCGGCAACGAGCCTATGGTGAGCCAGCAGCATCACACGTGCTGCCACGCCCACCCGCTCTGCCACGGCCCCTGTGCCCGCCACCACCAGCAGCGCCTGCCCCAGCAGCTGTGGGGGAGGAAGGCGGTCTGCGGCTGACTCTGGCGATGCTGCTGCCTCAGGGGCATCCCTGGGAGAAGAAAGGGGACGAGAGGAAAAACAAGCATTGGGAAGGGCAAATGGCGAGGCCAAGGTTGGGGTTAAGGGGATATGAGAAGGTGCTGAGGAGCCTTGTGCTTCACCCTGCCCTCACCCTCTCCGCCACGGCCCCTGCGCCCGCCACCACTAGCAGCGCCTGCCCCAGCAGCTGTGGGGGAGGAAGGCGGTCTGCGGCTGACTCTGGCGATACTGCTACCTCAGGGGAATCACTGGGGGAGAAGGATCACGGCAAGAGAAGAGAGAGCGAGCGAGCATGATAGGTGAAAGGATGGGCGCGGGTCAATGAGGGACGCTGCTGCCGAAAGAGGCGCCGAGAAGACAAAAAGGCAGCACGCACCCAGTGGGCAGGTGCTGACGGCAGTGGCTGCTGCAACGACCTCCAGTCCAGAGGCGGCAGGGAGCAGGAGAGCACGTTAATAGTAGTTCCAAATTTTTAAGCGTCCCAATAACTGGAATTAGAATAGAAGACGGGGAGAAGCCAGCATGGCAAGTGCTTACCCTGTGCTGATGGCCGCAGCTGCTGCTATGTCCTCCAGAGGTGGCAGGGAGAGGGAGAGGGCGTCCAAGAGAGAGGTGGAGAGGAGGGGCGCCTCGACTCCAGGATGGAATAAGAGGAGATCGCAAGGCAGCCGTCACTCACCCGGTGCTGATGGCCGCGGCTGCTGCGAGGTCCTCCAGAGGTGGAAGGGAGAGGGAGAGGGCGTCCAAGAGGGAGTCGGAGAGGAGGGGAGAGATGGCGTGGAAGCGAGCAACCATGGCGTGTGCTGCCTTGCGCACTGATGATAAGGGGTGCCACAGCAGGTGCACCGCCAACTGTGTAGAGCAAGGGGGGGAAGGTGGGGGGGGTATAGTTGTGTACGAGGGTGCCATAGCAGATGCACTACCAGCTGAAAGAAAGGGGAGCACGAAGACAAGGGTAACTGCACCTAACCGCTGCTCACTGGAAGATGTCCCAAGATGCACTGCCAGCTGAAAGGAAGCGGAGCACGAAGACAAGGGTGACTGCACAGAGGACGGGATGGAATGGCTATCGTCCAAGAAATAAGGGGAAAACAAAACGGACTTACAACTGAGGGAAGGGCAGAGTAGATGGAGAAGAGTTGACAAGAAGAAGAAGCAGCTTAGAGGTGAGAGCAGCAAGTGAAGCTCTGGGTGAGACTTACCCTGCAGAGCTCATTCGTGCTGACAGCAGCAGCATGGCCTGTGCTGACACTGCAGGCGAGGGAGAGAGAGAAGAGGACGGGGGGTAGGGAGGAGAGTGAAAAGGGAAAGGAGGATCAGAGAACAATTTAGGCCTGAACCAGTTGCAGCATGAGGTAACTTGAGTCCAGAACACATCTACCATTGAAAGCATGTAATCAGTTACAGCCTCCACTAGATACAGCCTGATTCAGGCTACCCAAACCCATACCTGGCGGGATGGTGCAGCAGCACCACCTCCACCACTTACAACCTGCACCAGATACATCCTACACTACACTAGGTCAGTCAAGCCCATACCTGGCGGAATGGTGCAGCAGCACCACCTCCACCAGTTCAAGCAGTGCAAGCAGGTCCTCCTCTGCTGTGACCTTGGGCACCTGGTGGTGTTGCAGTACCAGAAGAAATCAGGGGGTGGGGGGGATGGCACGTGATGAAAGAAGTGTTACAGTACCAGAAAAAATCTAAGTTGGAATATACGCGTTTCGCGTTTTGTACGCATGTGTGTATACGCTAGAGTATAATACACGATACGTCTACAGAGGATGTTCAAATACGCTTGAAATACGGAGGGGTGGGCAGGGTGAAAACTTTTTCGGGCAGGGTAAATATACTTTTTTTCTAGAGAAGGAAGGAGGGGAGGAGGGGAGGGTGCTATACACCCCTAGTACCTATCCCCTCGGATTTTCCGCGGCGGGTTTCACGGATATTAATGGGTCCTTCCGCGGACGCAACCTGAACATACTCGCACTTGCAGGAGCGCTTGATATGGTAGACATGGCTGCAGCGGGTTAAGAAGCTTAGCGCGTGTTACAGAAAGCGATGCGTGAAAGTTGACTACGGAAATGAAGACTACGCGTGTTACATGACTGCGAGGAGCTCACCTTGTGTACGTGCCTGCATGGTGTGTGTCTCTTTCTTGGTGGGGATGGATGGGTTGGATCTGAGAGGTATGCTGAGATTCAATGCGGTGGAACCTATACAACTTTCGAGACCCAAATGAGTTCGCGAGGTGCGAACAAATTGTTCCACAACGCAATTCGTGATTCCCGATTTTTAGGGTTTTTTTTTTTCGACGGGCTGCCCGCCCGAATTTCAAGCGTTTTTCAAGCGTATCGCGTTTTTGCGTATATACGCCAGCGCACAAACGCAATACGCCTGGCAAGCCAAGCGTATACTCCAACTTAGGAAAAAATCAGGGGTGGGACGGCAGAGGAAAGTGCTTGAAGGAGGGATGGCAAAGGAAAGTAGATCCGTATGTTAAGGAGGATCTGCTACGCAGGTGGGTACCAACAGAATGGACAGGAAACGCAGGATCTGTGAGCGACGCAGTGAGCAGAGGGAATGGAAATGGGCAAGCCGATGAAATGGCGGAAAGGGCAGAACGGGCAAGAGAGAGAGAGAGAGAGAGAGAGAGAGAGAGAGAGCAGAACGTACAATGGAGGTGGAGAGGAAGGGAGGGTCACCCTGCAGCACTAGCTGCCACACCTTCTCCTTGGTTAGCTTCTCCTCTGTTGGTGCACACACATTCACATGCACGCATGCATGCACACACACAACACACACAGACCCACACACAAACACACACACACACACACACAACACACACACACACACAAACACACACACACACACACACACACACACACACACACACACACACACACGCGCGCGCGCGCGCGCATGCGCACGCACACACCAAGTGACGTTGACACAGAGAGTGGATGCAACGAGGGCAAGGCAAACGAGCAGACAGGAGAGAAGAAACCAGAACCGACATATTCTGCCGACCCACATGCACCCTTCCAGCTGGATGGTCGGTAAGCAAAGGTAGAGAATTCAGGGTTTATGGCTTGGGATAGTGAGATACCAGATGGGATGTTTGACAGACTCAGATGCCATACCTGACTCCAGGTCGAGGGCAGCAATGGAGGCAGCGAGCAGCAGCGCATAGACCCCATCCAGCCGCATGGTGGGCTTAAGAGGTACATGGTGATGCATGCGATTTCAAACAGAATGCTGGATGGACCACCACCCAATCCAACTGTCATACCTGACCCCAGGTCGAGGGCAGCAATGGAGGCGGCGAGCAGCAGCGCATAGACCCCGTCCCTAAGTTGGAATATACGCGTTTAGCGTTTTGTACGCTTGCTGTATAAACACTAGAGTATATACGCAAACCGCAGTCCCTGAGGGGTCTGGTACGCACAAGAATCCGCTTGCCCGGGCAGGAAAAAAATTTTCCCCGGGCAGATTTTTGGGGTAAGAGGTGGGGATGGGGGGGTGTTGTAACCCCCATCCCCTTTGTATTAATATGAAAGTTACAGGAAAAAAAAAACCCTTAAAACTAATCTGCCGCTACAACTTCACCCACCTTAATCATGCTACTACCCCCCCATCCCCTACTCTACTCAGGTCCACCCTCCATCCCCCGCCTGCCGCTCATGCATGGAGCCTTCCATCCACTAGTACTCATCTGCCATCACATCATCCTCCCCCTCCTCAGGTTCCTCCACCTCGTCCGGGACGTTATAGCCAGCCAGAGTGGGGGGGTCCTAGATGTTTCCCTTCACCACCCCCAGCCCTTTAGGGGCCTTGTGCCAATTGTGCACCACCTGCCAATTGTGCGTCACATACACCAGGTCACGAAGCTTCACCGCGCCGAGGCGGTTCCTCCTTGCCGTATGCACTGCATCAAACTTCGCCCAGTTACGCTCACATGGAGACGCGGACACCGGCTGCGTGATGGCGCGGCAAGCCATGGTGGTGAGCTCAGGATGCTCGGTCCCGTGCCATGTCCACCAGTCCACCGCCGTCATCTTGCCCTCCTTCACTGCCTGGCGGTCGGCAATAGCGTCGGGCATGCCGAAGCTGCCTTGGAGGTTCAGGAAGGCATTGAGGCCTTCCTGGATGACGAGAGAGGCGCGGCGCTCGACCCCGTCCTTCCTGGTGACCGTCTTGTCACCATGGTGCTTGGAGACGTACTGCTTGAAGACCCTCGTGCACTCCAGGTCGGTGCGGAAAATGCCCTCTTCCTGGTTGGTGGGGTAGAGGATGCGGCCAATCACGTGCAGGTTGCACGCCAGCCCGTTGTCCCAGCGGTCCTGCACGATCTCCCGAATATACCCCACCTCGTCGCTTGTCAGGACCCCTTCCGCATGCTCGTCGAGGAAGTCGCGGATGTCCTCGGTGAGCTAGAGCATGAGGTCGTAGAGACGACCCATCATGCCCTTCGAATCTGAGTCAGTCTTGCGCATGACGACGAATGGCAGCCTCATCAGCTTAGCGAAGAACTTGGCACGCGTCCACCACGCGGCATCGAGGATGTTGTCTTTGAATGTGTTTGCCCCAGCCCTGTCTGCAGCCGCAGTCCACTCGACCCACTCATCGCTGAGGACCATCTGCGTTAGGCCGGCGCGCACTTCACAGAGGCGGTTGATGGCGATGTAGTTGGTGCCGAATCGGGTTCCCGCGGGCTTGAGAACCTGTTTCCCCTTGCCGCCGTTCACGAGCGGACTCCGCATGTATCCCCGGGTGAAGTGATGGTTGCGGACGAACGAGATGAGGGTGTCCCCGCGCGTGACGATGTCCTTCGCCCATCCCTTTTTCCCGATGTCCTCCATCAAGAGATCGAGGACATGGGTCGCGCAAGGGATGTGTTCAATGTGGGGATACTCGCGCATCAACACCCTGCATGCCGCCGCGTAGTTGGAGCCGCCGTCAAAACACAAGGCGACGACATTCTCGGGGCCGACCTTTTCGATGATGGGCCGCAAGATGCCCGCGATGTAGCCCCCGGTCTTCATCTCCATCTTCGTGTCGATCGACTCCACAAACACCGCACCGCTATCGTTGATGAGGAGCACGTTGGCTTGCGGGCGGCCGGCCTTGTCGGAGAATATGTCGCTTGCCACGGTGACACCGTCACGGCGCCAGCTTGCTGAGATAGGAGCGAGCGCCGTCTCAATGCGCTGGCGACACTTTGCACGACCGGCGCCACCGATGTAGCGTCTCTTCGGCGCGACGTAATTCGGCCCCGCGCGCTGGATGCTGGAGACCACATTCCACCACAGTGGGTGGACCGCGTGATGCTCCGGCACATGAAGAGCGGCAAAGAAGAGGCTTATGGCCTCGTCTGCAGCTTGGTTCGCGCACGCGGCGTCGTCGCCGTAGAAGTCGGTCATCCGACTCTTCTTCTTGTCCGAACCTCTGCCGTTGACTGCGCCGACCGCCGCAATTTCAGCCGCACGCTTCGCTTCACGGGCCTTCAACTTGGACTCGTAAAGCGCCTTCACGGCGTCACGTGCAGTCTTCGGCGCTGCAGTGCAGAGATGCACTTCGCGACGGCGCATGCCGTTCCAGCTGGTGATATGCTGCGCGCAACGATGAACCCCGCCAACAAACGTGAAGTTGCAGTAGGCACACACCTTGGTGCCGTTCTCGCCAACGCTATTGGCCGGCACCTTGAAGTGACGGTAGACTGCGTGCTTGCTGTCCATGCAGACCAAAGACGTACTAGAAGAGGTCCCACCAGCGGAACTACCAGGAGACTCTGAGGGTGGCGTACGAGAAGTGGTTGATGTAGGAGTGGAAGCCATGGTGGCTTGGGAAAGGAGATAGCTAGAATAGGAAGCGAGAGAATGAATGTCGAGGGAACAAACGCCTCTCTTTATGCCTGGGAGATTGGGTTGGGTTGAGCTCCCAACCAGTAAAGTAGCACTTCGAGGGGATGGTGGAATGTTGTGGTTCAAAGGGGTGTGAAACGTTTGAGGGGAGGGGTTGATGAGGTTTGGTGCTCGAAATTCAAAATTTGAGTTCATTTCGCGACATCTCCGACTCGGAATTGAGATCGCCACGTCGCGAGCTTCAGATTGAAATTTTGTTTTTTGTTTTTCGGTCTGCCCGAAATTCAACTCGGCGAATTTTCAAACTATACGCAACGAACGAATTCGACAAGAGTATAAACGCAAAACGCAAAATGAAAGTAGCGTATATTCCAACTTAGCCCCGTCCATCCGCATGGTGGGCTTAAGAGGTACATGGTGATGCATGCGATTTCAAACACAATGCCGGATGAACCACCACCCAATCCAACTGTCATACCTGACCCTAGGTCGAGGGCAGCAATGGAGGCGGCGAGTAGCAGCACATAGACCCCATCCAGCCGCATGGTGGGCTTAAGAGGTACATGGTGATGCATGCGATTTCAAACAAAATGCCAGATGGACCACCACCCAATTTAATGTCATACCTGATCCCAGGTCGAGGGCAGCAATGGAGGCTGCAAGCAGCAGCGCATAGACCCCGTCCATCCGCATGGTGGGCTTAAGAGGTACATGGTGATGCATGCGATTTCAAACAGAATGCCGGATGGACCACCACCCAATCCAACTGTCATACGTGACCCCAGGTCGAGGGCAGCAATGGAGGCGGCGAGCAGCAGCGCATAGACCCCGTCCATCCGCATGGTGGGCTTAAGAGGTACATGGTGATGCATGCGATTTCAAACAGAATGCCGGATGGACCACCACCCAATCCAACTGTCATACCTGACCCCAGGTCGAGGGCAGCAATGGAGGCGGCGAGCAGCAGCACATAGACCCCATCCAGCCGCATGGTGGGCTTAAGAGGTACATGGTGATGCATGCGATTTCAAACAAAATGCCAGATGGACCACCACCCAATTTAATGTCATACCTGATCCCAGGTCGAGGGCAGCAATGGAGGCCGCAAGCAGCAGCGCATAGACCCCGTCCAGCCGCATGGTGGGCTTAAGAGGTACATGGTGATGCATGCGATTTCAAACAGAATGCCGGATGGACCACCACCCAATCCAACTGTCATACCTGACCCCAGGTCGAGGGCAGCAATGGAGGCGGCGAGCAGCAGCGCATAGACCCCGTCCATCCGCATGGTGGGCTTAAGAGGTACATGGTGATGCATGTGATTTCAAACAGAATGCCGGATGGACCACCACCCAATCCAACTGTCATACCTGACCCCAGGTCGAGGGCAGCAATGGAGGCGGCGAGCAGCAGCACATAGACCCCATCCAGCCGCATGGTGGGCTTAAGAGGTACATGGTGATGCATGCGATTTCAAACAAAATGCCAGATGGACCACCACCCAATTTAATGTCATACCGGCTCCCAGGTCGAGGGCAGCAATGGAGGCCGCAAGCAGCAGCGCATAGACCCCGTCCAGCCGCATGGTGGGCTTAAGAGGTACATGGTGATGCACGCGATTTCAAACAGAACGCCGGATGGACCACCACCCAATCCAACTGTCATACCTGACCCCAGGTCGAGGGCAGCAATGGAGGCGGCGAGCAGCAGCGCATAGACCCCGTCCATCCGCATGGTGGGCTTAAGAGGTACATGGTGATGCATGCGATTTCAAACAGAATGCCAGATGGACCACCACCCAATCCAACTGTCATACCTGACCCCAGGTCGAGGGCAGCAATGGAGGCGGCGAGCAGCAGCACATAGACCCCATCCAGCCGCATGGTGGGCTTAAGAGGTACATGGTGATGCATGCGATTTCAAACAAAATGCCAGATGGACCACCACCCAATTTAATGTCATACCTGATCCCAGGTCGAGGGCAGCAATGGAGGCCGCAAGCAGCAGCGCATAGACCCCGTCCAGCCGCATGGTGGGCTTAGCCACTCCACTCTTCACCAGTGCCACTAGCGCGTCCACGCAAGGTACGAGCTGAGGAAAGGGGGATGGGAGGTGGTTGGGTGGTTTTAGTCGACTCAAACTCGCATGTGGGCTTCACCACCCCACTCTTCACCAGTGCCACTCGCACGTCCACGCAAGGTACGAGCTGAGGAAAGGGGGCGAGGAGGTGGTCGGGTGGTTTTAGTCGACTCAAACTCGCATGTGGGCTTCACCACTCCACTCTTCACCAGTGCCACGAGCACGTCCACGCAAGGTACGAGCTGAGGAAAGGAGGCGAGGAGGGGGGGAGGGAGGGTGGTTTGAGTCTACTCAAAACTCGCATGGCATCAGCATGCTCCTAACATCTCAGTATACTCCTAACATCTCATTCTCTTCCCTCCTCCCTTCTTTCCCTTCTTTTTCCACCCTTTTCTCTCACCTTTTCTCGCACGTGTGGGTTGCGGAAGGCCAGGCGCATACACCTCAGCGTGCACCGCCTGAGCGTCTCCTTCTCCTTCGCCAGCCTGGCAGTGACGAAAGCTGACGTGGCAGCAGGCGCCTGCCTTGCTGTCCGTGCAAGCCACTCGCCCAGAGCTGAGAGGATCGATGCAAGCACCTCCTCATTGGCTGGAATATGCCAGGGTGGGAATGGGGGAGGGGGAAGAAGGGGAAGGGGGAGGCGAAATAGGAGGGGGGGAGGGGTCAGGGAAGATGGGGGATGAGCAGTGCTGCAGAAGAGGACGTGCAAGGGAAGGAGAGAGAGCAGGAAGAGCAAGGGCTTGGGGAGAGCTTTGTTGGGCCGACGAGAAAGAGAAATTACTGTAAGGAAGTCGACTGGGATACATCCATTCCACATCCACCACTGATTGACACTGCATGTGAAAACTCTATAAACTGGCATGTAGGCCTTTGCAAAAGTTGGGTTAGTATACAAAACACTCACTGTCGCCAGCATAGGCTGTCATCAGGAACTCCGCCACGTCAGCAGCAACAGCTGGCGCCATGGCATTGGGCCCTGGCGCAGAGAAGGCGGAGAGGGCCCGCAGAGTCTGGTAAACTCCCACCTTCTGATACGCTGATGTCAGCTTGCCCTCTTTGCCTGCAAGGGGTTGGGAAAGTGGGGTTATGGAGGAGGAGGAGGAGGAGAGAGGAGAAGTGAGGGAACGAGCATGTGGCATGGTCTCAAGCAACCTGTTGGGAACACCTTAAACTCGAAAGACCACCTGTCAGCACTCCTTTGCCGCATACAGGCCAACCTTTGAGGCGTTCAGAGCAAGGGAAGGGAAGGCAACCATGGGCCAATTGGAAGGGAGAACAGGTTTCATACTAGAGTCCTTGCACTGCTTGGTTGGCAGTGCTGTTGTGTGAGCTACAGCAGCAGGTCGTGACACATCTATAGAAACCATTCCGACTGAAAGCATGCGTCCCTGCCAGCTCACCTGCCAGCACCCCCTTGAGGTATGCAAACATGGTCCGGATGCTGTCAGAGTCGCTGCACTGCTTGGCTGCTACTGCCATCTGGGCTAGGGAGGGTTGTAACTTGTCAAGAAATCCATTCTACTTTGTGCCTGCCAGCTCACCTGCCAGCACCCCCTTGAGGTATGCAAACATGGTCCGGATGCTGTCGGAATTGCTGCACTGCTTGGCTGGACTACTGTAAGTGCGCGAAAGCAGGTGGCAATACCGCAAGAGAGAAAAAACATCTGACTCTATACTGTGACAAGTCAAGGGAGAGCGCTCACCTGCCAGCACCCCCTTGAGGTATGCAAACATGGTCCTGATGCTGTCAAAGTCGCTGCACTGCTTGGCTGGACTGCTGTAAGTGCGCGAAAGCAGGTGGCAATATCGCAAGAGAGAAAAAACATCTGATTCTATACTGTGACAAGTCAAGGGAGAGCGCTCACCTGCCAGCACCCCCTTGAGGTATGCAAACATGGTCCGGATGCTGTCAGAGTCGCTGCACTGCTTGGCTGCTACTGCAAACACTCCAATCGCTTCCTCCCTTGTGGCTGCATTCTGATGCCGGGCCTGCAGGGCTAGCGTGGGCAGCAGCTCCGGTGCATAGGCACTCAGATCAAGGCGCACAGTTGACAGCAGGTAGCCTGTGGTGGGGGGAGGGGAGGGGAGGGCATGTCATCACTACTCAGCTTCCTCCCTTGTGGCTGCGTTCTGGAGCCGGGCCTGCAGGGCTAGCGTGGGCAGCAGCTCCGGTGCATAGGCACTCAGATCAAGGCGCACAGTTGACAGCAGGTAGCCTGTGAGGTGGAGAAGAAGTGGGGGATGGGGGGAAGGGGAGGAAAGGGAAACGGGGGGAGGAGAGGGAGAGGGGAAAGAAAAGTCCACATCGATTATTTCAACAATGGCGGGCACATCGATGGAACATTCGAGCATATTTTGAGGAGAGTGAGAACTCACCAACAGCGTCCATGATGAGCTCGGGGTTGCGTTTGAGCATCTTGGCGGCAGTGGGGAAGAGTGTCCCCTTGAACTCCGAGTGCTCCAGTGAGTGCAGCAAAGTAAGGGTCACTACCCAGGCGCCTGTGGAGTGAACTCACCAACTCCATCCATGATGAGCTCGGGGTTGCGATTGAGCATCTTGGCAGAAGTGGGGAAGAGTGTCCCCTTGAACTCTGAGTGCTCCAGCGAGTGCAGCAAAGCAAGGGTCACTACCCAGGCGCCTGTGAAGTGAACTCACCAACGGCATCCATGATGAGCTCGGGGTTGCGCTTGAGCATCTTGGCGGCAGTGGGGAAGAGTGTCCCCTTGAACTCTGAGTGCTCCAGCGAGTGCAGCAGAGGCGCAAACGCCTCTGATGCCACATGGGGAGGGCGCTCCCTGCTGCTCAGCACGAGCTTCGAATAGGTTTCCACGAAAAACGCCTGGTGAAAGAGGGAGGAAGGGACAGGGAAGAAGAAGTCAGATGGATGAACAGCAGTAACAGAGGGCGCTCCTTGCTGCTCAGCAGCGAGTACCAACGTGAAACAGGCTTCCAGGATGCATGCCTGCAGGCTGCAGCAGGGGTAGTGACAGGAAGGAATCCATACGGGAAAAGAACCTCGTGTTGTGCTTAGAGAATATTCTGTCAGCGAACTACCAATAGTGATCCGTTATAGGCAGACAACCATCGGACTGCTTTCCTACCTTGGCCTCTGCTGTGGAACCAGGAGCAGCTGCCGCTGCTGCTTCTGCAGTCCCGTTCGCTACGCCATCTGCTGCTGCAGCACCTTCTGCTTCGCGTGCCTTAGACTCGAGGAAGTAAGTGAGAAGGGGATGGGCGATGCCAACTGTGGTGAGGGTGACAGGCGTGGATTTTATCTCTGCCAGATATGCTGGTGCAAGGGAGGGCACCTGAAAGTGCAAGGGAGAAAGTGACAGGTGGAAAGAGAGGGTGCAGGAGGGGGGGGGCGGGGGGAGGGAGGGGAGGAAAGAGGACGTAGTGTTAAGATTCCACCACGCTCATATATGTTTTCTAAAAGCAGACTCAAGCTCTCAGTTTTGACATCAGGAGGCATGCCATATTGTTTTTGTACAGTAATGGAAGCTCCTGGTTACTCAAACGAAAGTTATACTACTACATATTTCAATTGTATTCAGGGTATTCGTAATACTCACCATGCCAAGCATCTCGTTTACAGCATGCAACGAAGCGCGCTTCAGCCTGGGCTCATCTCCCAGTGCCACCGTCAGCAGCGTCCCCTGTGCCACTACCAGACGAGAGAACGCTGCCCGCACCCCCACAATCGCATCCCCCCTCTCCCTCAGCAGCAGACACGACCACTTAAGCAGCTTGTACCGAACCAAGCCGGCCACCGAGGCTGACACCGAGCCTGGCTTGGCGCAGGCTTGGACGAGAGCTCCTGCGAATGCCTTGACAAAGGCAGTTTCGCGCTTGAGGGCTTTGGTTATAGCTCGCTCAACAGAGGCTTGGGAGCGACGGTCGGAATAGATGGGGAGGGTCTGAAAGATGAGCGAGGCGAGGCGAGGGGCTGCTGCTGCGACGTCCACAGCTGAGAAACGGGAGAGGACGGAGGGAGGGGAGGTAGGGAAGGGTGGAAACGGAGGGAAGGGAGGGACGGGAGGGAAGAGAGGGAAGGGACGGAAAGGAGGGGAGGGAGGGAAAGAAATGAAGGAAGGGAGGGAAGAAGGTTGACCGCATATGACGGCAGTAAGGAGAAAGGACTGGGAAAGCGCGGATATTCAGGAAAATGCAGAATGGAGTGAAAATGGAGGAGCGAGATGATTTGTCATCCGGATTCAAGGAAGTATGTGGAGGGAAAAAGGGTTATCCAGGTTTCATTCATCGACGTCATTGTTCACAGAATCCGGGCTGGTTGTCCAGGTTTTATCAGACAACTCCATAGGCCACTGAATTCTGTCGCACAGACTGGCGAATGCGAAGCTACGAGTCTGCTCAAATCTGTTCAAAAATCGGCGACGACGAAGAGAAACCAATCCAGGAAATCGAACTGGCGGATGGTTGAAATTTAGCCGGTTCTGTGTAGAACCCTCCGAAACCCTTCATTCTGTAAGAATTTGGTGACCTGGTTAGAAATGTCGCGTGTTTAAGGAAACCAACAATCTGTCAGATTGAACTTCGATCTGATACCATGGTTCATTGCCAGAAACTTTAACCAACCCGTTCCACCAATCGGGTGCTAGATCCGTCCGTCATCATCGCATTCCTGCAATCGAAACAGTTTACTGAGTTGCTCACGCGTAAATATGTTGTTAATGTCTTCATAACGGACCTTTGCTATCGAGCGCTGACGAGACAGATGCGTCGAACACGCCGACACGGTCGTTCACTGAACATGAGCACACTTTAGCCTCGGCAAGCTCCAGGATCGGCACCATGTCGATCACCGGAAGAGCTTCGGCATTCGCCTCCGCTTCCGAGCCTGACGCTTTCTGGACAGGCTCGGAAGCGACTGGAACTTCCGAAGCTGGAGCTGATGCGTCCACCATGACTGCTGCTAATCAGGCAATGGAACCCGCTGCACCGTGCGACAGAATAAAAGGCCTGGTCGCTAGAGAATGATGAAATTACAAGAAATTCAGGACATTGCTGGAAGGAAAACGATGTCCTGGTCTATGGAGCCTGACTGACAAGCAGCGAATCCTCCTCGTGCCTGATACTGATGGCGGAGGGTGAAAAGGAAGAATCAAGGTTTGTTTGCAGGAATTGACATATAGGTGGACATCTGCTGTAGCCTGACAGGAGGAGCTTCAGTATTGAAACCAGCAAGAATTTATATTGATCAATTGGTACATGCTTCAAGTTGGAGATGATATAGAACTGTAGATCTGTAAGGAAAATTCCTTTTCCTTACTTCGCATCCCCGCTTAACGCGTACATCACTATAGCACCTCAGTCAGCACCGTTACCACTCGCATCAATAATCCGCCCGCCATTTTTCGCATGTCGCACCCCGACCTCACGGCTCGGCGGTAACCCGCGCTCCGGACCTCCGCCTCGACACTTTTCCCAACCTCAGTCCCAGGCCCGTCGCGCGACAAACCACAGTCCATTACCGTTACCACTGTAGTTTCGCTATATAATCCTTCGCTCATGCCTTCGCTCATTGTACTCTTGCTTCGATAGTGCAATCTTCGTTCGCTCACTCGATTGCACCCGTAACACTTGGTATTCAGAGCCTACGATCTCTTCTCGGACCGCATTCACACCTTCGTTTCCCCACTATCTCAATTTTTTGGGGGGGGTAGACGTCTCTCAGCGATCAAGCACCGCCGCTCGTAGTGCTCTCTCGTAAGCACGCACGGCCACGACAGAGGCTCTCGCTGCGCTTGACCGACACCCCCGCCATGGCTGAATTTACGCTCGCGACGTTGACGCAAGAGCAACTTGACCGTCTGATCCGTCAAGTTGAAGATTCAGCACTCGAGATTGCGACGCTCACGGCAGAACGTGACTCCGCGCGTCAGCAATCTGCGGCGAATGCTCCAGCGTCACAAAATGCACCTGCACAGTCAGACGAGCCGATTGTCATCTCGTCCGGCACACCAACACAGCACGACAGCGTGGGACAGCGCTCAGGCGCAGCCAGTGACAGCGCCGCCCAGCCAATGCCTGGTATGGGAGGAAACCGGGCCGCACCAAGCCCACGGGAGCCTCGTGAAGCCCGTCGGCACGTGGAGTTTGCGGCAACAAGTGGCGACCAGGCAATCATGGCGCCGATGCCACTCAAGCCGCAGCGCCCGCCCTGTTTCGACCCGAGCCAGCGTGGTGGTCCGACGGTTCAGTCGTGGATCTTCACGATGAACGTGTTTTTTGACGCGAACTACGTCGAGTCGGACGCAGCGAAGATACGATACGCCGTCTCGCTGTTGAGGGGCCCCGCTATGGACTGGTGGCGAGTCATCGTGACGTCGCCACGCGCCTACGAGCCACCGTCGCAAGAGGAAGGGCCCGCGGGCCCAGCAGTCAACTGGATTTCATTCTGCGAAACCGCCCAATACAGCACGTGGGATGCGTGGTGCGTAGGGCTTCGGGCGCGCTTCGAGCTGATCGCGGCTTCTATTTCGGCGCGTCATAAACTGCGCACTTGGCGGCAGCTCGGGTCAGTTCAAGACTACACGAGCGGTTTTTTCGCATTATGCGAGCAGGTCGGCTACATGCACGAAGCGGAGCGGGTGGAACGTTACGTCGGAGGGCTAAAGCCGGAAATCTCGCAGGAAATAATGCTACGCGGACTCTCGAATTTCAACGAGATTCTCGCGATCGCCGAGAAAATCGACATTTTGCGCCGTCCGAGACCGGGGTCCTACTACGGACATCGTCCTCGAGGACCGATCGAGCACGCCACCGTACACGCCGTTGCGACGAATGCAGCTGCCGCACCATTCAAGGGGCGCTGCTTTGCTTGCAACAGGCCGGGCCATCGTAAAAGTGAGTGTCCAGAGGAGCTAAGGCGCCGCGGAGCAGAGCAAGGGAGGGAGTCTCAGAGGCAGGGAAACGCCAGCAGTCAGTAGAAATTGGGCCGACTACTGACGAGACTGCCTGCTCGCCCAACCACACCGACCCTCACCGAGTCACAGTACCGATCCACGCTATCGATCGGGCTCGGATGAATAAGGAGGGTACAGCGACGGATTGCCCAGTACTGATCCACGGGAAAATACAGGGAGCAGCAGTCAAGATTTTTATCGACGGAGGAGCTAGTCACAGTTTAGTTAATACCGCGACCGCACGGAAACTTCAATTGACACTTAGCCGGTGCTTACCTGAGATTGATGCACGCTTAGTCGACAGCACGCCGCTGGCCATACGGGAGAAGGTGGAGAGAGTAAAAGTTCGCTGCGGAGGGAACTTCGGGTTTACACAAGAAATGCTCGCGACGACACTGGATGGGCACGACATTTTACTAGGACGTGATTGGTTGCGACGTTACAACCCGAGAATCGACTGGACGACAGGCAGCTGCACTGTGCGAAGTAGTGGTAACTGGGTCGAACTACCACGCTGGCAGTCGCCTGAGTCGTCGACGGTCCACGTCAACGCCATAACAATGAAACGGGCAGTCGCCGCTGGAGCTGACGTGTATGCAGTGGACATCGCAGTGGTAGGAGAAGCTGAGCAGCCGAGTGATTTTCAAAAACTGCTGACAGCGGTACCGCCTGAACTACAGGAGCTATTGAAACGGTACCCGGGGATTTTCCCCGACGACTTACCGGAACGACTGCCACCTCAGCGGGCGCACGACCATAGGATAGAGTTAGAGCCGGGGGCACAGCCAACTGTACAGCGCCAGTTCAGACTGACACAGCCGGAGCTCGACGAACTGAGGAAGCAGTTAGATTACCTGTTAGCGAAGCAGTTTATCCGACCGAGTTCGTCCCCGTTCGCCGCACCGATACTATTCACACCAAAAAAAGATGGAGGGTTTCGCATGTGCATCGATTACCGAGCGCTCAACAGGGTTACAGTGAAGTCACGATACCCCATTCCCCGCGCCGACGAACTGATCGACCAGCTGCGAACAACACGGGTGTTCTCGAAGATAGATTTACGGGGAGGTTACCACCAGATTAGAGTCGAACCATCGGACTGCGCCAAGACAGCTTTTAGGACTAGGTACGGGTCGTTCGAGTATACCGTGATGCCTTTCGGGCTGACCAATGCACCTGCAACATTCCAGATGACCATGAACGAGGCGTTTAGACCACTTTTAGATAAGTGTGTGATAGTCTACCTCGACGACATTCTCGTCTACAGCCGCGATAAGCAGCAGCATTTAGCGGACCTGGAAGCAGTGTTTAAAATTTTAGAGGAGCATCGGTTATTGACCAAGGGGTCTAAGTGCGAGTTCTTTCGGGATAGGTTAGAATTTTTGGGACACGTTATTTCGGAGGCTGGGGTTGAGATTGACCCGAAGAAGCTGGATACGATCAAAGCTTGGCACCCCCCGACAAACATCACGGAGCTGCAGAGTTTTTTGGGTTTTGTTAATTACGTCCGTCGGTTCGTCCCCAACATGGCACGCTTAACTGCCCCACTGACGGATCTGCTGCGGAAGGGGGTCGTTTTTACGTGGGGGGAGAACGAGCATGCTGCCTTCTCTACCCTGAAAAATGTTCTCTGTTCACCGCCTGTCCTGCGCATTGCCGACCCACACCGCCCATTCGAAGTCATTACTGACGCAAGCGACATCGCCATCGGAGCCGTACTGCTACAGGATTTCGGGAACGGACTACAGCCCATCGCATACGAATCACGAAAGCTGCACCCACCTGAGAAGAATTACCCGATACACGATCGCGAAATGCTTGCGATCGTGCATGCGTTCAAAGTGTGGCGCTGTTACTTGACCGGCGCAGACGTGACAGTACGGACAGACCACCGATCACTACAGTATCTCCGCGCACAACCCCACCTCAACCCACGACAGATCCGCTGGCTCGACTTTCTAGAGTCGAATTTCCATTACACGGTCACCTACAAAAAGGGAGCTTCCAACATTGCCGACGCACTAACCCGCCCCACTGCCCA